TTTCTTTTTTTTCTCTTTTGTTGTACTTTTTTAAAGCAATGGGAGAATCAAAGGATATTTTTACCACCCTGCTGCCATCTCGTCCATCAACTGCCCCACTGCTTCAGATCCCACCTGTATATAATGCGGTTGTGATCCACCTGTCTTTGAACTCCTCCTGTTGCAGGTATCTCACTGCTCTTCTCGTCATACCCCCTATCTCCTCCTTCCTCCTGAGACCTTTGCAGATCCCTACTCAGACCTTTGCAGATCCCTACTCTTCCTCAGGATTTACTTCAACTGAATTGAAAGCTGTCTTGAGGCCCTCTTTCCCCAGATAATAATCTTTTTCTTCATTGTGCTCTAATTACAATACAGTAACCGACACACAGGTGTGTGTCTTACAGGAAACCAGATCACATGCGGCCCTGATCTTGCCAGTGCTGATCTTCAGCTCAAGTTTTCAGTAGGACAGTTCCATAAACACAATGACATAATGTCATGACATCATTATTTTCCTGTAGGTTTGAATCAGCTTGCTTGCTTTTACAGGAAATTATATGTTCACATCTCCTTCAACTTAATTGACACCAGGGAAGTGCCACACACGTTACTTCCAACATTTAGGTCTCAAGTGCATGAACAACATTCCCATCATCCATTAGGTACCCACCCAAACCAGACTTTGTCATCATACAAGTGAAAGCAGCTAAGTAAACATAAAAATCAGTTTTAGAGTATAAAAGAAAAATTCAGAATATTAATTATGGGGGAAGGGTGAGGGCAAAATTACAATACCTTGTGCCATGGGGCCTTCTGGCCTGGTTGAAAACACTGTATGCTATGGTAATACAGTACCAATGCCAAGAGAACAAAGTTTTAATGACCCCGTCTCCCACCACCCCAAATTCCTCCTAATATGGGGGACTTTTCCTCCATTATGTAATTGCAGCCTGTACTATTTATTTTAGCATTGATTGGAAGGGTTTTGCAGAAGAAAGAATAGTTCTAGAAACCGAAAGTTAATTGTATAAAATGAACTAGCTAAGGTGAACTAATGCACAAAACTATACAGAAGGAAATCAAAAGAGACATTCTACTTTGTTCATGGACTACAGGACAGTACAAAAAATCACAAACTTAAAATCAGCCTCTCTCTTGAGGGTCTCACAGGTTTCATTGAATCATCAATTGTTAAGGGGTTGGAAGGGACCTTAAAGATCATCTGTAATCCCTGCTGCCATATGCAGGGGCATCTCCCACTAGACCAAGTTGCTCAAGACCTTGTCCAACCTGGCTTTGAACACTGCCTGTCTAACATTCCTTCCTTCAGATCAGTTTAGATCCAACACTGTTCTACTGCTCCACCAGAAAAGAATAGAGAAAATATTCATAAATTTACAAAAAGTACTGAAGCCCTCATTTTTTTTGAAAAGGAGGGGCAGAAGGTAAAGGGGAAAGTGTCACAGTTGAGAGCCACACTGTTTTCAAATAAAGGCTAATGTGTGCATACCAGCACTACTTTTACACACCACTGCCAAAACTGATAAAGTGCAAAGTTGTCTTTGCAGTGACACTACACACAGAGCAGAGCTCTGAAAATCAGGGGCTGAAATGGTACACTTTGGGCCATCAGTGTTCTAAGCTGGAAATAATTTTCATGACTCTCTTCCCTACTACCAAAGACATGGATGAGTTGCTAGTTCAGGATTCAAATTGCTGTTTGACTCTTAACAGGCCTCTACATACGACAAGCTCTAGACATTTATGTAATCCTTGGCACCTCAAGGCTTTGCCACAACCTCTGGGAATACATTTGTAAGATTTTAATTCAAAGGGTTGAGTTATGCATATGAGCTAACACCCTGCATATGATCACTGAGCTAGCTGCAGCACTGCAGACCCATCCCAAAACCTGCTACCTTCATCTACAACAGTCCTGTCAACAGTTCATGCACATGTCAAAATTATCAAAGTGTTTGTCACTATTTTTCTGAGAAAAGAGGAACCCTTGCAACACATAGAAAGACACAGATATATATCTTTGCATGATTTCAGTAAAAACATGCTTTTCTTATTAAAATGTGATGCTATTCTGTGATTATAATAATCTTTTTTCCTGGGAAATTTATGACTCAGTATGTGTAAATACTCATCTCAGGGGTCTGCCCTTGTGGTGGCTTTGGCCACCTACAGATCTTCTCACTGTGTTTGTGTGTGAATTGCATCAGAGTTGTGTGCATAACAGATTCTCCCTTCTTTTGGCTACCCTATCCATCTGGGTGCTTGCCAAGTATGTTGGCTGGCCACCTTATTAGCAACAAAAATGGGACTTGAGTCCCAGCAAGATTCTGGGGGAAGCTGGAGGTCTCCCTGTTGACTGCAGTGGTGTTCAACCACTTCCACCACTTCAGCAAGGGCTTTCCAGTGCATGCTTGTGGACTCTGATTGCTTTAGTCCTGCAGACTGTGGAGAGCTTTTGATTACACTTAACTTCAGCACAGGCTAAGGGCACTCCACTGTCACTAGATAACCTCATTATATAATGCAGTTCTGTGCATGTACTGTGCTCTCCTGTTGGTTCCCCCATAAGGCAGGTTCATGTATGTGGAAATCTGATGGGTTTTCAGCAGCAGAGGCGGATTCCTGGCAAACCATGCACCAGCATTTCTCTGGAGCCACAGCTTTCCCAGCAAGGCTACCACATGTTCACAGTCTGGATCTGTCTCACCTCAAGCCCCAAGTGCCATGCCTAGGCCAAGCCACATGTCACCCCAACATGCTGATCACCCCTACGTGGCATGGGATCAAGCCTTAGTAAGAAAGCTGAGCTGATGTTTCCAAGAAGCAAAAAGAAAGGGAGCAGTTTGTGCAGCACAATGTCATTGCCGGTGGTATTTTCCAGACTAACAGTAAACTTGGGTTGTTTACTGGATCGCAAACTTTCTTTGCATGTATACAGGAAAACAGATGCTTCCCACTCCTGGGCCCCATGCCCGAGCAGGCTCCCTCAGCAACATCACAGGCAGGGGACAAAAAGCAGGGCAGCAGAGACATTGCTTCCTGCCTCTGTCTGCTTTGAGCTGGCGATACAGCATTATCTATCCTGCACACTCCTTGCCAGGCTATCAGGCGGGCTCACAGCGTGCAGTTTGCTTTTCCTGCTCCGTAGGAACAGCTGCTGCCTCCGCTCCCAAACAGGGAACAGAGGCCAGGGCTTGCAAGCACTTTGGCTCAAACAGGACACATGGGGCAGGGATGAGAGAGCTGGGAAGTGAGCCACATCTCCCAGAGCCTGAGCAGGTGGGTGCCCCAGCTACTAGGCTGCCTTTCATCTTCCAGCATTAAAGGCCTGGCATGGTCCATCCAGAACCCTATCTTCAGTAAGCCTCAGGTGCAGTCCTCCAATTGATTCATTTATGCCAGCATAAATTAAACTTCAGGCTCTTCCAATGAATTAAAGAGGCAAAGGTGAAATAGAGGACAAAAGCATGTGCCTGGACATATATGTAACCTTTTGACTTCAGGATGGCCACCTGTCAGTCTTTTGCCTCTTCTTCTGAAGCAGTGGTGCTGGTCCCAGCCTGTGCCAGGACTGTGATTTAAAATGCCCTTCTGTGGTCCAAAGAGGATCTTTCCTCAGCTTTCTGCCTGAAGAAAGGGACACAGGCTGCTTGAGGACATGATGCACTCACTGTTCCCCTCTCCTGTGACATTTCTTTATATAAGCAGCCGAATAGCAAAACATATCAGTGTTCATTACTAATTTTATTATTTATAGTGAGCTGCCACAGATGGAGACTGCAGCACCATTCTATCTTTAGGGCGTAGTGCCTGCCTGCCCGTACAGACAATTGGTAATTAGCACAAGAACAAGTTGTTTACCTATTCTCAAACATAAATAAATAGGAGACCCATTTATCCATCAAAATTCAACTGCCTCCCTTTGCCAGATCTCCAGGTTAACTGCTTAATGAATAGAGCTCATCACTTCGGGCACTTAAGCAAATATAAAAGTGCCTTTAAAGGAAATTAAATATGCAATAAAAATTAACCAGCCATACACTGAACTAATAGCACTTAGATCACAAGAATCATAAGCACAGGACAAGATGAAGGACACAGGGATGCCAAGCAGAGGTGTAGAATTGGACTAACCAGTACGTAGGGGAAATGTAGTACATATATCCTACTTAATCCTGACATGTGCACTTCCTAGCAGTACAGCTGCCCAGCTCTGAGCCCATCACTCCAAGTGAATCCTTGCACAAGCTTGAAACTGGAGAAAAAGAGGCAGAGAGGGCAATTGCAGTTCTTCAAGTAAAATCAATCCCATGTATGCTCTAAGAGGACCTTGTATGCCTTGGGTGGCAGGACCCTTCCCAATGGAAACAGCACACAAGCCAGGGAGAACATATGACTTTTTCTATTTTTATTGCTGATTCCAATCCTTTGTTTTCTTTTATTCATTATACCCACCCCTGAAGGTAGAGAAGAACAGGCTTTATGAATAGATGGACTCTGTGAGTTGCTCCTAAGTGTTGGCCCCGCTTCCTTCTCTCTTTGTCCCCCCACCCTCCCTGTGATGGGAGGAGTGCACTCACTATTAAGGCCAAAGCAGTCAGTGTGGAGAAGAGAAAATAACCCTTGTCTTTCTCACCATTCAGGTGTTTTCAGCATCTGAAAGTGTTCACTTGCTCAGGCTTGCAAGTGCAACAGTGTTTTACATGCATATGGGTGTACACAAATCCTTATGTACAGAGTGGGAAAGCTGCTATGACACAGCAGAAATGGGTCAGATCTGAGGAATTCTGCCAGGCCTCCATTTTCAATCATATGGGATCAAGTAAAGCGCTATTTGCTCACTGCCCTCTCATCCAGGCAAACTTTATTTGGCCTTCTTATTATGCATTTTACAGCATCCAGGAAGGGGGTAAAAGCCACTAAATAAAAGCAAATTATTCCAAATACAGTGGCTGGGGGGGGGGAAAATCTAATGAAAGGGTCCTTTTGTCTTTCAGCTCACAACTCCAAATTTTCCTGTAGTGGTCAAGCTGGGACATGCTCATGCTGGAATGGGGAAGGTAAGTAAGTCAAAAAAAAAAAAAATATATATATATCTGGAAACAGATACATATGTTGCTCAGCATTCCTGTGATTATACATGGCATGTGACCAGCCAGCCAAGGGGTTAAAGCTCCCCACAACCTATCTGGGTCGCACTGGCTGTTCCTGTGGGAGAAAAGGCCTTTTTCCACTGTCACGCACTTGGAGACAGGCAGTGGGATTGAGTTGGAGACTGTCTGGGATGCGGGAAGGGGGGTTGGTGAAGTGTGGGGGAAAAGCTGCCTGGGCTGAAGTCATTAGGCTTGTCTTTTATACATTTTTTCTTCTCCTGAAAGTGGTAGTGTTGTTTATTCAAGCACCTGTAAAGTGCAGCTACACCCCATAGCACTCACAATGAGGAGCTGTGGCACTGGGCTTCTTGAGCACATTATGATGACCTTATTCAAAAAATGGGAGCCCTTCAGTTATTTTTTTCCTCCTTGCAAGGAAGAACAAGACCTTACAAAGCAGAGTGGCTGGTTGCCTGCCAAGGAATCCTGAAAAACAGTTCACTACCCAGAAGGACATGTTTGTTTTTCCCAGGCTCTCTGGGATCTTTATTTCCCAGTGAATTAGCAGCCCCTGTTTTTTGGGGTGACTGGGCTCCCCTTTCAGTGAGGCATCACCCGCACATTCCTACTGCACTTGAGTCTTGTCTTTCTTGCATATATCTTTTCAAAAGGCATCCCCTCTCTGTCTAAAACTTGGTTTGTTCAGAAGTACAAAATTGAGGTACTATCTCTGAATCCAAATGAGTGGTACATGAGCTTCGTAACTGATATGCCTCTCGCAGTGCCTCACTAGAGCAGACAGATCTCCCGGCCTCACACTTTGACTGAAAAATATATATAGTTACACCAAATTTAAACTTGGTACAGTTTGTTTGTTGTGCTCTGGAAACAGAAGCCCTTTCTGGCTTGCTGGATTGCACATGGAGGATCTAATAATCTTTCTTGCTCTGCTTGCAATGTTCCGCTGTCTGGATGGTAGGTGCTGGGGAGGAAGTGGGCACAGATCCCTGTGCCAGCGGTGGAGTTGGCTTTCAGCATCCAGGAACAAACATGTAAATAAGCAGGAAATGTTGGTTAATATATTGGTACTGCCCATGATAAGCAGGCAGAGGTGTCATTGAATTAGAGTGTGTGCAGACAGCCTAGGGGTGCTTGTAGGGAGCCATTAACTTGTTCCTAGGAAGGGTTCAATTAACAAAAACCAACCAGGACAAACCAGGAGGAAAACCTCTCCCCTGAGACCTTGCAAGCCTGCATGTCTCTGACTGCTCTGCCATTTCACTTGTAGTGCAGGGCTTCATGTGTCTCATGCACCAAGGCTCCTTGGTGGCTACAGAAATGAGGGCAGAATCAGAGACAAGTACTCCAATCTCAACAGCATTTCCAGACAAAACTCTCAGCAGAACAGTTAGCTATTGTCTTCTGCAGCACACACCAGATCTTCTTCCATCTCATCATTTCCCTCCCTTTTTATTCTTTAATTATATTGATTTTTGCTGTCACAAGTTAAGGAGGAAGAGAGTTTCTATTCAGACTCCTGGTACAATTGTACTCAGAGGTACAAGGAGGGTATGTAGGAAGTCATTCCAGATACAGATAGGCTAACAGCCAGCATCTTAGAAGAAAGAATTGATCTGAAGCCAAGTTTACTTTAGTCCATTATGAAATTAGTGACTACTAGCAAAGTCTGGATGTGCATTTGGGCACAGAGTTTCCACACTGCTCGTTCAGTAGATGGGGAAGGTACAGGAAGCAAGGGTTGTTGACCTTATGGTTTTAGTTTGGGCCCTTCTCCAGTCACAAGCAGCCTGAAGGAAAGTTGAGACTGACTAAATTTTCTCTGTTCAGTCTCACTCCATTTCATTGAAGAGCAAAAAAAGAGATAAAGGTAAAATAAAATAAAATAAAATAAAATAAAATAAAATAAAATAAAATAAAATAAAATAAAATAAAGAATAAATCAGTTGGTTTAAAAGGCAAGTAGCAAGAATTTGTTTCATGGTTTTTTTTGAAACAGTAAGGTTCAAGGCCAAGCAGGACTGACAAAAGAAACTGCAGAAAATACCAGGAGAAATACAGAGAAATGCAATTGTGGGTATACTAGGAAAGTAACACCTAAAAAATCAAACCTACAATAAAGTAATGCAGAAGAGGAAAGTTCTCAGGAGACATTATGTTGTTTTTAACCATCATAATGCAAAAGCAATAACCAGTGAGATTTGAGAGAGCTAAATTATTTCCTTGCACTGGTTTTCAGAATTAGAGTTGATAGCAGGAAATAGCAGGTCTTTAACTATAAAATATACATAATATGAAAAGAGATAGGTTTGCTTTTGGTTTGATGTATGCAACAAAGTAAATGTTAATAAAGCACCTGCGTCAGGTCATGTTTTGTATTAAACCAGTGACTGGAAAAACAAAAGAGAGAATTACCAATATATTAGCCAAAGTACACATGTGAGTATTAAAATAGTACTCACTGCAACAAATGATGCCAAGATAGTGAGCCATGTACGTGTACCTGTAATTGGTGCTTCAAAGGATGTCAGCATTCAGTGTTATTACAACAGAAATTGTCAAGGAAGTAGTTACTTTTTATTTGTGTTATTAACAATAAAATCACATGTAATGGGAGGCAAAAACACATAGAAGAATGAGCAAAGATGGGAAGTCCAGGCACTGTTATTCTTTATTTGTCTGAGGCAGTGGCCAGGAGACAGAAGAATTCTGGATGCAGAAAATGCCTCTTCCCCAAAGAGTTCCACCATCTGCTTTCAGGGAGATTTGTGTCATTTCACAGTTTTCTTCAGTTTCTCTGTGTTACACACTAGAGGAATTATAATGATTACCTAATACCTGTTGCTAATTCATGTTCATAACCTTCTTGGCAGTGTAAGTGCTGAATGTTTCTTATTTTGCAATAATTGCTAGAAGGAGCATAATTATAATAGACTTTCATTTTCACATATTGTTTGTTTTGACACAATTTTCACCAAATTCACTCACCACATTTTTTAATTAGAGGGCTGAACAAAGAATCCTCAAAGCTAAAATGAAAAATAACCACAGTAGGGGTTGTTCAAAATAGGCTCTATTGACTCCCTTCCCCTTAAGGGTGGGTGACCACAACTGTCTTTAGCCTGGGGGAGGAGCAGCTATTATTCAGGATCAGAACCAAAAGGGGTAGCAGTACACCATTTGTGAAAGAAATGCTCTTGCCAAGTGATGTGTGCATGTGAGGTGCACATGGAGATGGAGAAAACACATTTGCAATAACAGGCATCTTTTGAAAATTCCATTGAGAAATGCAGAAACAACAGCTTCTCTATTGACTTGAACAGAGACACCAGTAATAGCCTTCACCCAGGAACAGACAATCTTCTAATCTAAAAACAGAACACATGCCCCTCAGTCCCTCCCATGACCATCATTATCCTCCTTCCAAAATTTGGAGTCAGTTCATATTTCCATGTCTCTGGAAAATCATAACAAGTGCTCTCTGTGCTGCTGGCCCTGTGCAGTATCGGTACAAATAAAATATTTGTAGAAATACTGCTTAGACAACTGTTTACAATGGAGTCAGCAGAGAAGGACCTTTCTCATATTGTACTCAAGTTGCTCAAACTCACAGGATCAACAGTACCCAAGGAATCTTCCAGAAAAACCATGCATGGACACTGAGAGATGTCTTTCCATGTGCAGAACAGAACTGCTGTTTACCCAGCAGCTCCTTAGAGGTCCAGGCATTTTTAAGCATTGTGCAGTTTAAGCCTACCTACCCCAGAAGTGATTGGGGGTCTCTGTTGAATAAGGACAGCACTGCAGTGAGAAAGGAATAACACTTCTCCCTGACTCCGGATCTCATGCCAGAGCCCATGGAAAAGAATAAAGCTCTGAGTGTGCTAGCATTTGCCATTTGTGTGCTAACATGACCCTAAAGTGCCCTAGGAACAGAGCCCAGTACTGCAAATTCACTCAAAGAGCCTCTTCACCTCTTCCTGATCAGATCATGAGAAGGAAACAACTGCCAGATCTACAAAGAGAGGAAAACCAGTATCTGTTCATGTGACTTTACATATATTTATATCAATTATATATATGTATATTTTGCTACTCCTACTTTATTTTTAGACCTCTCTAATTAGGTCAGTTTAAGAGTCACTCCTGTCTCTTCCTGCCCCATAATTATGTAAACACCTTCCCAGTACAAATCTTGGCTCGGATGAATTTATGACATTGTAGAAGAAAAACTTGTTGTTTGTAATAATATGTTTGGAGTTATTTTCTCTCTTACTGGATGGGAAAGTCTTCTCTGCTTCTTTTTTTCCCCTGGTATAAATATAGCACAAACTAAACAAAGCCACTCTGTAATGTAAAAATACTGCAAGGTTTTTATCAGGAAGGACAGCTCGTCACCTTGTCTCTCTCGGGACTGGAAATAGAATGTTCCAAAAGTGAGAGCTTTGAAAATCCAGTGTGCTAAAGGGGAAAGGAAGGGAAAGGGCTGCCTCAGTTTGTCAAGGAACAAATATTTTCTTTTAGAGAAGACAAATAATGACTTGACATGTAACATTCATTCACAACAGAGCAGCCCAATCACTGCATTCCCACTGACTCATGTGTAAGGATGTTCCAAATGTCTTGAAAATAGCAAAAACATCCCCATTTCTTGCACATCAGTCTGGAAGCTTTTGCTGAACACAGGAAACAGTGACTGACCCAAGGCACCAAGGACCACAGCAGCCAAGACCTGGGCTCTGTACTAGGAAGGTTGAAAGCATTAAAGGCAGCAGATGGGGAACTTTAGTGTGAGGATAATAAAGAAATGCAGACCCCATTGTGACTTCACTGTTTTGGGGTGGGCCAAAGTTAGGCCTAAACTGATTGTGTGTCAGTTGGATTGGGTATTTTCTGAGAAGAAGAGCATAATTTGGGGTAGAGGAAAGGAGATATTCAGGAAACCATCTGCACAGAACTGTTCCTGAAGACCCACTGTCCCAAGATGGTAGGGTCCCTACAGAAGGGCTGAGAGCAGGTCGAGATGGATGAAAAGTCACAAGCTTTGTGTGGCTGCACCAGTTCCTCTGGAGGAAAACACTCAGACCGTGCATTTTCATTTCAAGCCTACCAAGATTCAGTTAAACACCACATTGCCAAGTCCAGCCCTGGCTCAGCCTTGGACACTCACCTTCCAGCTGAACCTGGATCTAACCTCATTTTAAACACAGAAAGGGCTTCTGCAAGTTATCTCCAAAGTGATGTGTGTTTAGCCTGTAGGGCAGAGTTAACCTCAAAAGCAGAGTTCACACTGGATGACACTCAAGGCAAGGCTAGGGCAGTCCTAGCAGACTAAAATAATTATGGCACTTTAGCTGAGGAATTAATTTTTCATGTGGCCACATAATGAAAGCAAAAGGGGACTTCAAAGCCAGACCTTGCAGTGCTTAGACTAAGGATAAGGGAGGAGAGCTGTAGCCCTGAAACCCTGGTGTCCAGGAACATCTGGGATGTAGAAGAGGCAGCAGATTAGGGACATATAAGACAGTGGAAGCAGAAGTTTCTATCCAGACAGATTCTTCACTAAAGGAACCTGTGCTCACAGATCTGAGGTGTGGCTCAGACTGCCCAGGAAATTGCCACAGTGGGGTTTTAACTCTGCCAGAACTGATCCAAAATCCTGCCTTGCAAGAAAGATCTCAAAACAAGGTCTGCAACAGGGATGGAGCAGAGTGTTTCTTCATGATCTGTTCCTTGGACTGCTCTCCAGCCAAAGGCAGAAAGATCAGTGCTTCTTGGGCAGGCTGAGGATGGCAACAGGTGCCAGATGCAGGTCATGTGGTGGCATCAGGCTCTGAGATGCGACCACAGGGCAAAGGGATGGTCACACCTGTGTGAGCACGTCCCCAGCAAACCAGCCAGACTCCTCTTTCCAACAGGGAGCATGCTAGGGCATCACTGCTGCCTGGGTTAGAGAAGAGAGCCAGAAGGGAAGGAGGAGCTTTCTTACTCAGAAAAGGCATTTGTCAACACACTGACCCAAACCCTTCTTAATAGGTCACTAAAATGCTACAGCAAACAGCACCTTATGGCTTCAGAATGAGTCTATTGCTGCTCAAACAGCCAGCACAGCTAAGCAAACAGGCTGCCAGGGCAGGGGCTGTGTTTGTATTCACTGTTTGCACTCCTCTATGCACTTAATGGGATATAGCATTTATCCTAAGAAGATTGCAAAATAAAAGGGGGTGGGGGGGATGGCTTCCTGCTGGTTTCTTTTCACCTCCTTTTATCAGTTTCATGTATTGGCCAACCTGCCATTTTAGGACACAGATTTGTCTCTTGTTAGGTAAATTGGTAACTTTGCACTAGATTGATTTTTAATAGTACCTTCTTAAATAATGCCCTCTGGTGTCACACTATAGCCATCCTGGCTTTGGTTATGTCTGGGATTTTTTCTTCTGTTAGGAAAATAGATATCTTATTGACATCTAAAAGGGTTACAAGGCAGGAGGAAATGAATTATACAAAATTTAAAAGTAGAAAGCTAATAAAATGGGGGACTCGATAGATAAGGCAAGAAAAGAAATCTAATTTGACTGTAACTTGAGTGCTTCCTGTTTATGAAGTAATAACCGTACCCTGGGATAAACCAGCATTAACCCAGAACACGGCTGTTGTTTTGTCAAATTTGGCTGGCTTTAACAATTAACAAATGGTGGCTCAGATTTCAGCTTTGGTGTGGTGATTATTTTGATGCCTGGTGGGAAATAAGGCTGTGATCCCCTACAAGGGGACTTCTGTGAGTTGCTTTTTCTGAAAAGTCCATGGGAAGTACTCTGGCAGAGGCCGGGGAAGATGCCAGAGCTGTTTCCTGAGGACTGTGCAGTGGTGTAGCACTGTGGGAGTCATCTTTATTTTTCATTTCTTACTTTGTGTCCTTGGTGAGTCCCCCCTCTTTATTAACCCAGCCTAAAGTCCTCAGGCCCATTAGAGAGAACACTTTCAATTGCTTTCCTTCTCTCCCTCTAGGGAAGGGGTGGTGAAGGAGGAGGAAAAGTGGACCCTTCCTTTCCAGACATCTGTATTTTTGAGGAGACATCACATTTAACAGGATGAGCTCCTTTCTAGCAATATAATATGGTCTAATTCCAGTGTGGAGGGGGGAGCTGCATCTTTTCCTCTGCTCTGGGTCAAATGTTCCTGGGCTGAGGATGCAAATATTTCAGTTTGGGCCCAAAGACATCAGTTGCACAAGCACAGCACTTCGTTTCAAATCCTACAAACGTCCTTGTTCCAAGTAGGTCATTATATAATGGCTTTTGTATTTTCTCACTCCCAAAAGGGTGCGGGAGAATATGTTTTAACACCGTGTCAGTGTCGCCTGCCCTTGCAGTCCCTCCTGTGATCATCTCATCTGGGTGGGACTCTCTTGCTTGATGTCATTCAGCCCAGGACAGCTCTTATCAGTGCAACAAAAATACCCAACTCCAACACAGCCTGCATTGTTTTCTCTGGTATTTTGCAAGTCCAGGCTCTGGGTTCCCTCTCGCATTCTCCCCGCTGCCTCCAGGGCATTCCTACCACCTCACCCTGCCCCGCACAGCCCCACTCAGACAGAAAGGGAAACAACACAGCCTAGAGCAAGGCTGCTCCTCCTGGATGCCATGCAATGGTTGCCTTTACATATCCCCTTTATATTTGTTATTTTCCTTTTTTTTTTTTTTGGTACCCTCCCTTCCCACAGATGACTGTCATCGCCCTCTGCTCCTTTCCTCAGCAGTTCCTGGATGGTGAGAGGGACTAGGGGTATTTGCTGGTCAGTAATAGGAGAAGCAAATTCAGGCATCTAGAAATGGTCATCGGTCAAACTGGTTGCACTTTTCACCTTCCCCACAACTGTTACATTTTTGAAAGCTTTTCTGCAACAGGATGTGGCTAAATCTTTGTATGTGCTCTATGTGTAAGCTGGCACTTACACAAAACAATCTAAACAGAGTAAAGCAGGTTAGCAACAAGCTTGTTCTCTGTTCCTGAGTGAAGATGGCTCCCACCCTCCCATGGTTGAAAGCAGATACATAAAACCACTTGTTTGTTCTTTGCAAGGAAACACCAAATACCATTGCATGTGCTTCCTTCAGCTGGCTCCACGGAGTCTGGCATCACCCTCCTTTAACACAGGGTGATGCAGCTGGAAAACTCTTCTGGAGAAGACACCCTTGGATTGTCACCCGTTAATGCATGCTTAGCAAAGCAGGGCTGCAATCCCCAGCTGTGGTCTTAAAGCATCTTCAAAAGACAAAGTGAGGGTAATAACATAAAGAAAGTCACTCACTTGTTCATCCTTTTAATACAGTCATGGTCTTTTTTCCACAAATTAATCCCCCCTTCCTGCAAACATCCAGCCCTAAGGAACAAGACTCGTACAGGTTTCTGTGATGCACCAAACAAGTGTTTGCCAATACACTAAAGGCCCTGATTAAAGATATGAGTGAAGTGAAGTTGTCCACTATGTTCTCGTTACCTGCTTGTTCAGTTTTGCTTTCCCAAATCAATGAGCTTTTGTAGAGGTTTGAGTATATCAATAGAATTTCTACTGTTATGGTCATTCCTCATTTAACTTTTTTTTAAATTAAGATACAGAGGTTTTCCAGTAACTGAATACAGATCTGTGAAAAGCCATCTTCTCAGAAAAACTGTAGCTCATACATCTCAACTGCTCATTTGTTTCCAAGTGAGACTCAAGTCTAACACCCAACCAGCTGTCCCACCCACATGCCCATTGCCTCACGCTCACACAAGTCTCCCCAAGAGTCGAAAACTCCCCCAGAGACATCCTTTTCCTTCGGAGTTTATGTTCAGTCAAGAGACCTACACTTCTCAAAGAAGGTCTGGAGTGGGTTAATGTGAAATGTCAGGGAACTGAAGGCTAGAGGTGACAGAAAACCAGTTCTCATGTTGATTTCCTGGAATTGGTTTGTATTTCCTGACCGCCCAAAATATTCTATTTTCATCCATCCCAACATGGGAAACAGCAGTTGCAAAGTCTGAATGAAGTAATAGCTCTTAAGAGATTGAATATTTTTCTGAAGCATCCTAAAAGCAAAGAGCATTAGCAAGAGCCACTTGGGCAAAAGGTCTAGCTGCCTCTCTGGTGCCAGGATGACCAGGGCTGGTGCATGAGGAAGGAGAATGGGATGGATTTGGTCTGGGTTGGTTTGCTCTGGGAAGCTTCTCTCTTTGAATCACTGAAGCCTTGCTCTGTCCTCAGCTGTGTCTGTGGGGGGGTTAAACTGTGCTATTCATAATAAATATTGTGCTATTCAGGTGCAGAGATTACTTCTGCTCACAAAGTATTCATGTTCTTTTTGGTCTTGTCTCTTTTTCACTGGATTTTGGTAATCAAGGTCAAAGTTGAGAACCAGCACGACTTCCGGGACGTGGCCAGCATAGTAGCCATGGCAAAAACCTATGCCACCACCGAGCCATTCATTGACTCCAAATACGACATCCGAATCCAGAAAATTGGCAGCAACTACAAGGCTTACATGTGAGTGCATGGCTATGCCAGAGCGAGACGGGGAGGAGAGAGTGCTATGGATGTGACTGAGTCGGTGTCTGCTCTGGGCAGGAGTGGGTAGCTGACTTCATTTCCTTGAAGAATAACCCTGCTGTTCTTCTCCCACCTCTGAACCCAGATCCCAATCATCTTCTCTATTAGTCACTGTCAGGTCATTGTTTCTGTCTGTCTCTTTCTGAGATTCACTTAATTCCCACTATAATGACTGTGCTCAGCCATCACCTCTCCATCCTGTTATTGAAGGGTTCATCTTTTCCAGCAAAGTCCTCCAGCTCCAAGTACCCTCTAGTGGGAGCTGAACCCACCCACTTTCCACCTGGAGAAAAAAAAAAAAAGAAGATTGAACTAGCTGCAACTCCTGGAGTCCTGCAGTGTCCAGGCCATAGCTGCACCCCATCTTTCAGCCCACAGCAGCACCCTATGCTCTCCCCAGCTGCAGATCACAGCACCACATCACACCAGGGGCACAGAGCACCGGGTATGAACGGCCTCAGCTAGGGCAGCACACAGAGTTTCTGTGGGCATTTTGCTTGTGTGCTCCTTGATGCATACAAAGGAGGGACAGGAGGTGAAACATTTCTGTGGGTGCCCCAAAGCTCCTCCCTGCCCTGTGGTGCAGTGAGGGAGGTGGCATGACAGCAATCTTCAATGCTGGTATGTTTAAAAGTCTTAAAAAGCATTCAGCCAAACTTCAGTAGTCACCATGCTCAATTAGAGATGTAACCACATGAGTCAGTAAGACACCTGTTTCTTCTTACTACAAACCAGTAAATGAAAAAGCCACACAGCACAGCTTCTCCAGAGGCTCCTTATCCAATCACAGAATTCTGGACAAGTAGTCAGCTCCAGCAGTACATTCTTCAGGTCGCCAGATAAATTGCATATGTTACCTAACACCCACAACACTGTGACTTTTGGGTCCATGTCTGCAAACCTCTAGGCCATAGTTCTGCTAAAGCGTAGTTAAACAAGATAATCAAATGTACACAATCATATATTTTTCAGCTATACCTGCCTAAAATTCCCAGTTGTATTCCTAGCACAGAGATGTTTAAGAAAACTAGATAATGACTGAGTTACATTCTTCATGGGAAGGAAGGACACAGGGGACACTTGCCTACTTCATGTGATCTCAATGAAAGAAAATTTATTTGTAATTGAATCCGATCAACAATAGCACAGTTGCCTAATACTACATTAACATCTTAGAGAGTCTGACTCAAATTGGCCAAAGGAAAGAAGGTTTAAAATATCAATTAAAATTCCCTGTTCCTGCCAACACACCCAGCCTTGGCTCCAGAGCCTGCTCCCCAACTGCCTCTAACTGAAACAAAAGCCAAGTTATCCTGACCATACTCTCTTCTCACTTATTATTCACACTCACCATGCACTCATCCAGAACAGGGATCAGAAATAACACCAGATGATTGAGGAGAGAAAGGAGCCACACTAAGACCTAATCCCACTTGGGAGTATAGCTGCACAGACAATTGTTTGCTAAAGAAAAAATGTTTTAATGTGAAAACTCACATGAACAGAGAACACCTTAATGAGAAATAAAGCTCATTAGCAAAGAAAGCAAACAGCAAGATTCACCCAGTGACTTGCTAACCCAGGAGGTTGAGTTAGATTGAGAGAGCCATTTATGGATGTGAGCTTGGGAGAGCAGTATAGTCAGTCCCACCAGGGACTGTTCCTTCCTCTCCAGCATTAGACAAAATAGGTTTTTTCTATGGTATAAGTCCCTACTATGTCCAAGGACAGAGGTAAAAGCACCCAAAATATCAGAGCTCTCACTGGTGTCCCAAATAGGAGACTCAAAACCATTAGTCATGCTAGCAAATCTCAGCCTTAAAGGCAATTCCAGCATCTGCAGTAGCGTCATACTAAGTGACTTGCTTTGATCTGTGAGCCATGGAATCTATTCAGTAATTTTATACCTTCACCCACACATATAGACTCTAAAAACTCCTTTTATATTGAGAAAAGACTGCACTGAAATTCTTCAGAATATGTTTACTTTGCACCAAGCATCTGACAGAGGGAGGATGCTGCAGGGTGAGTCATGCATTCCTCCTTGCCCCAGATGTTCAATGCACTTCCTTCCAGCCTATGGCCCAAGGCTTCAGTTTGGTTTCCCATTGGCTTCAGTGCAGTGTCTCCAGATTTACACTGCCAACAAACTCCTACTTTGTCCATGCCTTGAGCCAGTCTGAAAACAGCAGATAAGCAGCATATGATACATGCCTAAAATTACACCAAGTGTATTTGACTGCCATTGTAATACTGGTAAAGAGAAAACATGAAAACAGTTCATGTTACAGGGGAAATTGGGACAGAAGTTATGCTTCCATACTCACCCCAACTGGAGGCAAACAGCAGGATCGTTTCCAGTTTAGACACATGAAATGTTGTTCACTTTGAATTAAGCCAGCAGCTACTACTTTCAGACATGGGCTATTCTTGCCACCAGCTCTTAGTAAGAGGGTAATACCCTTCTTTTGTAGTTTCATGACTGGGATTTTTGACTTGTCACCTCCAAAGCAGTTCAATGTGCACATCACCTGTGTCTAAACTAGAGCTACTTATAGACTGAGATAGGACACCAAGAGCTCTTGATCTGCTCGTTTATCCACTTCTCCTAAACAATGCTGAAGGTGTTGTGGTCACAAATCTGTTTGAGCAACTGATCTCTCGGAGTCTGTGGTCCTTCTCTTTAAGTTCTGACTGTACACTGTGTGGCCCCCTGATGTTTTGGATTGTTGGAAGCCTTTCAATCCCTAAGAGAAATGGGGTTTGAGGCAGGACATTCTTAGGGAAATTTTTTTTGTCTTAAGTCTCCTTTTTCACTTCATACAATACAAAAAAGAAAATTGAAAATAAGCTGTATGAGGAACAGTTGGGGTCACTTGGTCACTTGAAGAACAGGAGACAGAGGGGAGTACTCATCCTGGTCTACAAGTTCCTCATGAGGGAAAGAGGAGGGGCAGGCACTGATCTCTCCTCCCTGGTGACCAGTGACAGGAACCAAGGGAATGGCCTAAAGTTGTTTCAGGCGAGGTCTAGGTTGGACATTAGGAAAAGGTTTTTCACCAGGGGGTGGTTGGGCACCAGAACAGCTTCCCAGAGAAGCAGTCACAGCACGAATCCTGACAGAGTTCAATAAGCATTTGGTCAATGCTCTCAGGCACATGATATGGCTCTTGGGGATGGTGCTGTGCAGGGCTAGGAGTTGGGCTCAATGATCCTTTTGAGTCCCTTCCAACTGAGAATATGCAGTGATTCTGTGATTCTGAAGTCTGAGGGCACAGTTGACTCCTGAACTGCTCAGACTTGCTTGGAAGAGAGTGATCTTGACAAAGGCTGTGGTGTAGGGTTTGGTGTCTGATCCACTGGACTTCAAATAAAACTCTTCAGTTTCAAAACAGCAAGGTTCCCTAACAGGAAAGTTAGGAATACAGCAGAGAGATATATTTTAAATCTTATGCTGAAAACTGGCTCACACTGGATAGGCATAAACAAGTCCAACAAATCAGCCCAAAGGCTTGAGCATAGTTCTTATTTTGGGAGCTTTCCCATGTCAAATTTCCTTGTAAAACTGTCAAACTGTGGTTTAATTTTCTTAGGGACAACACAGCTGCTTACATTTGGTATGCCAGGTACATTTTCTAAACCCCAGTGTAAAATCATCTTGTCACTAATGAGACTCCAGGAGTTCCCACCAGTACTAATGGGATTTTGGATGCCCTCTGCCCCTGCAGGGCAATTTTCTGTTAAAAATAAATGTTAGCAAAGAGTGGTTCTGCTCATTGCAGAACTAGAAAACATAATCCTAAGAATCCCATATTAAAAGAGAAAGAAAGGCTGAGGACTGAGCACTGACCTTACAGTTCATCAAAGGGCTAATGACAGTCCAAGCTTGAGGAGGAATCCAGTCTGTTGCTTAGGAAGTAGGGCAGCAGAATGGATGCTGGTTGAAGGCCCAAAAGTCAACTATATGAAAACAAAGTTATTCAACACAGTAATCATGCTCCTTCAGCCCCCCCCCCAGTCCAGTTCATTAAACATGGCCACAAAGACAATCTCAATTTCACAGCCACTAAACATGCCAGTTTAGAGGAGAATTGGGAAAAGCCCTCTAGGGTGTCTCTCACAAGAGTAAAGGGGAGCCTTAGGTAGTCAGCTATAATGATTCAAGTTTTAGTCTAGCAGGACATCAGTATTACCACTGCTGAATGTAGTTTTGCAAATTCAGTGTCTTTTGTACATGTTGCTGAAAATGTGAGAGAACTGGCAGCAAGGACTCCCTCAACCTCATACTGAAGTGTTGGATCACACCTTATATTCCCCTCATAAATCTCTTTCAGTGTGGAGAGGCTTCCTGGATGTATCCTGTCAGCTTGTTGACTTGTCCTGGCTTGTGCACTATGGAAGGGTTATCTGGAGTGTTGTCAGAGCAGGCTGTCCAATGTCTGCCTTGGGCCTAAGGTCAAGAAAAGGAAAATTTTCACCCCTGACAGTGATGGTGAAACCCAGAATTTTCTAGCAACAGTACCTTTTTTGGAAAATAACTATCAGTTGCAGCTAATGAAACTCCAAAGATTTTGAAATAAGGAATTCTCCAAGTCCAAAGACAGTGAGCCACGATAAAAAGTCAATGAAAAGTCAGTGATAAGACAGTATGATAATATATTCTATGACATCAGTATCACTGAAATCAAATTGAAGTGGACACAGAAGTACAATTGAAATCAAATTTAGGTAGACCCAGAATGTCAGAACTGATACTTTGTGAAGCTGCTCAGTAAATATTTGCCTAGAGACCTTCTATTCCATGGATGGAAGATGCTACCCATTGCAGAACATAAGGGTTATTAACCTAGAGATCTTTCACACACATTTCAGCTCTGCTAGGTCTAATGTACAAAGAAAGAAAGTACTCACAGAGCCTGATGTGTGCTCAAGATTCCTTGGAGGTTTCTCTGCCTAAAATCCTCAGTCAGTTTTTCATGAGTCTGAACAACATATCCTGTATGGAGTGTTGTTCAGGAAGGATTTGGAAAGGCTTCTGGGAGGAAGAACCTCACCTCATCCCCTCCTGTACAAGCACAGAGTCAAGAATGAGCACTACAGTATGCAGGAGGATGGGTCAGGAGTCTATTTTCATGTTCAGGTTATGCTTTTGGTTTGTTTTCCTAGGAGGACTTCCATCTCTGGAAACTGGAAGGCAAACACAGGTTCTGCGATGCTAGAACAGATTGCAATGACAGAGAGGTAAGGAAGAGTTTCAAGACAGTATTAGCTATTCTTGGGTTAGAAGGGAGGAATTGTATTTCTGACTTTGGTCAATTGGGAGAACTGGTAAGTGAGGTCTCCTGGGAGGCTGGATAAAGACTTTAAAAGACCAAGTGTTTTCTTAAAAAAATACTAAGAACACAAAGGCAAACTGTCCTATTTGAAGAACAGACTGAAAGTACAGCTAGAAACCAACATTGCTAAATCATTAGATCTTTAGTGAATGCAACCACAGGAAACAAGACCAGCATGCTGGGTCAAGCACACCAGTACAAACATGTAGGGATAAAATCAGAAAGGTCAAAGCACAAAACACGAAGTAACACGAGGTTAGTCTAAGTATATTACTAACGAGAGGCAGAAAAAGAATTTTTCTTCTGCTTAACAGGAAAAAACCTGTCAGCTGAAGTTCTGAAAGCACTTTTTTGCTTTAGGCTCACAAAAGTGGTCACTGTCTAAGTTAAGGTCTTCTCACTGGTGAACAGAGCAGAAAGAATTCCCTCATGCATCTTACAGACTAAAATTTGCAAATGCTACTTCCATGTATTCAAATCACTGTGATATTTGCTAATACTGCAACTGCCTAACACTGTGGACTCATGGTAACATGCTTTGCTGTAACTCCTACCCTGCAGAACTAACACTTGTTCTCATCACTTTTCTCCATCCCATCCAAGTAGATCATTCATAGATTTATAAAATCCGTAGGCATTCATCCTTAGTGAATTTAAGATTTTTTGAGATTATATCTTGTTTGTCAGGTTCATGATTAATTCTGACTCTGTCCAGTTTTGGGCACCACAATTGAAGAGAAATAGCAAGGAGCTGGAGAAAGTCCAAAGAACAATAAAAAGAACATTCAGAGAAAACCTAATGAAATGTTGAGAAAAACATGCAACAAGTTCTATGCAGTTTTCCACCTTTTTCAGTTAGCAGACCACTGATATTTTTCCAGTAGAGTTGTAGACTATCCTGCCTGCAGTGCAGATGTTCACTCTCCTTCATTAAATGTTACAGACCTGGAAGAAGTTGCCCACAAGCTGAACACCTCTTCATCTAAAGATGAAAAAAATGAAAGAGCATAGGGTCTTTAAATATATGATATAGGCATTTCTCATTACTTACATTACAAGTATAATACTGTAAGAAATAAATTATAGCTTAAAAGGTTCCTTTGAACATTTCCTGTATTTTCCTAAAGTAAGGATAGCATAGCACAGAAATTGATGCTCTGAAAAGCATCAAAGAGTTGTGCAGGCAGCCATCTAAGGTCCCTTCTGCACCTTTAGTTCTGTGAAACAGGGAAGCCAAGCCCCAAATCAGATGCTGAAGGTGACTCTGCAAGATGCTAATAATACTGTGGGAAGTGGACATGATGATGCATCCTGGCTCTTTATAACACAGCTGAAGCTAGACACGTGAGGGTAGGCATTACCTTATTGCAGAGTTGTAGGACTGAAAGCCAGATTCCTGCCAGCCTGAAACACTGCATTTTGAAGGTTTGTTTTGTTAATTGTACCACAAATAACCAGTCCAGTCTTATTCAGCCTAAATGCAACAAACCCTATTGAAATCTGTGATTTGCCAGTGCATTAAACAAGGCAAGAATGTGCTCAAATGCTCTGATGAGTAGGAGCAACCTGAAATACCAACTGTACTGAACATAAGTACAAGGACTTTAAATGCACAGGTAATGCAGAAATGACAGTAAATCCTTTGAAAATGCAACACCTGGTGCACGTGCATAAATATGATCTCCTTCCTTATAATACTCCTATTACACCCCAGCAGCCCTGATGCTCCCAGTGCTCACCTATGGCCAACAAACATTGAAGATGTGCAGCCATCAGAGTCTCTGGTGTGACCAACAATTCCCTGGCTGCTGTGCCCAGACGCCAAGAGGTGTTCCTCAGGAAGAGAGGTGTTTTCCACAATGGTGCCCCTGGATGCTGGGTCACAGCTGTGCATGAGGGGTGCTCTCTGTGCCTCCTGCCTGACTCATGCAGTCCATAATTCTCCTCCTCCTTATGCTACTGATGCCTCCTCATACACTGTCTTCCTTGGGGATCCAGGGTGAACACACTTGGCCTCCTCATTAGGAATAAAAGAACACCGGTAGTCATATAAGTCATAATTTTTCTTCTTCCCAGAGACATTGTGTTCACACAAGTTCATCATTATATTGTTAAGATATGGGGACTCTGGCTGACTTCAAGGACATAAATTTGTTCTTTAGCCAGAAGAGCTCTTTCTCCAGTCCCTGTAGGGTCTGCAAAATGTCAGTGTTTTCATGAGACTGTGGCCTTCCCTCCCCTCTCTGCATCATGTCATAACCCTGCTTACAGATCTGCTGTTCTGAGATTATTATTTTTATTTCAATGGCCAGGACCACAGCACAGCTGCACAGGAAATAAAACCAAGCTGCCTCATTTGCACAGTGGGGGGATGTGGTCCCCTCATAACATGCCTCTTGTCATTCTCTCTCTTCCTCTGACTCCAGGATAGCTAGGAGACCACCAGCTCACATCCCCATCCTGGGATGGATAGGGAAAAGCTGCAGCCTGAAGGTCTCCCTCCAACAAATAGTGCCTGGTCTGTGTGATGAGACTGCCTGACTAGGAACAACACCCAAGGGACAGAAAGAAGCAGGAGACTGAAAAAGGATAAAATTGAAAATAAATTGTAAAATGCAGGAGCTACTGCATTACAGATCAGAGAGGGGATGGCTACTCCTTGCTAAATTCAACACTCACTTTCTGATCCTATTCCAGTCCTAATGTCCAGGACATCTTATCAGGAGAAAGCTGCCTGCATAATGGAGGGCTTTCAGGCAAAGCCAATACAAACGCTGAGGGGCCAACACTACTGGGAGATTAAATGAGCTAAATATTTATAGCTTGGCTGAATGACAACCAACTGGAGATCTGATGTAAATACCAAGGAGGGAAAGAAACATTTTAAGGTGGCTTTGAGGGCAGGATTGAATCAATCTGAAATGAAGGGAAACTTTAGGCAAGATTATTTTTTTTACTCCATCCCCTGTGAGTGGGAGTCAATAGAGGGAGTGAAGGACCCAGCAAAACACATGAAGGACAGCTTGTAATAAGGGCTCCCAAATCACTTTGTGTTCCTATGGGCAGCAGGGTGGGTGGCTGGTTTTGGTGGACTACCCAAGGACAGCTAATCCTAGGCCATGCCCTTGTGGTTTCTGCAGGTACCGACTCTGGGCAGATGCCTGCGCAGAAATGTTTGGAGGTCTGGATATCTGTGCTGTCAAAGCTGTTCACAGCAAAGATGGAAAAGACTATATCATTGAGGTGAGAGCATGGGCAACCTGAATGTGAGTCTCCTTTGGGAAGTGTATCCGCAAGCACTCTGCCTTGGAGTTCACATGCACCAACCCGCACCAACCCTGCGTGCTCTGCCATCTCTGCTCCTCTGTGCCCACCTGCATCCTCAGGCCATGGCCCACTGATATGTTAGGAACTGATTCAGAGCCCCAGCCAAACCAGCACATACACAGCAAAGTGTCAGGGCTGAAGTGCCTTCCTTTCTCAGCGTGGACAGTGAAAGGAAATGGAGAGCCTCAGAGTGCTTGGCCACCTCAGCTTTTCAGCAGATGATTCAGTTCATTAAAAATCTCAATTTCTCTCTGAATGAACCTTTCTTTGATCACTTTTAAGGGAACTTCCAAACAAAAATTCAAGTTGCACTTTATTTGAAAGAAAAAAATAAATGGTGAGAGTGCAGCAAAATGTTCACAAGCCACAGGAACTTCTTGATGAGCAAAAAAAGAAAGGTGTATTTTCTAAAATCTTTTGTGTAGGCAGCGTTCACTACAGTAAGAGGCCATCAAGACAAAGCACCACAAAGTTACTCTGAGTAATGTGCACTACAACTTTTTGTATTCAGGGCTGGACAGACTGTGGCTCTGAGAGCTAAAGCTCAATGTGCTCCTTCCCAGGCCAGGAGGCAGATATAGAGGTGGGGTAAATAGCACACTCAGATCATCCTAACAGGACAGAGAAGGAAAAGCTGGCCAGAAAAATCAAAGTGGGAAACTGAAGAGATGCCCTGGAGGAGAGACAATCCAGCAAGTAAGCAAGTGCCTCTGTCAGTATGTGACTTGAGGAGACACAACATCTGACCTGCTGTAAACTCTACCAACACAGGCCAGCTGAGGAGGACGAGCAGAGCCAGGCTATTGGCTTCATGCAGGGGTGCTGACACACTGCAAAGCTATGTGTGGGAGAGCAGTCCCACCCGCTGAGGGCTGGGATGCTGATGAGAACCACATGAGCCCTCCAGTGACTGTGCATTCCTGCATTATGTATCTGCTCTCCCCAGGGAGGGGAGCGGTGACCTGTCAAAGGCCATGTGATAGAAGCGTGCTGCCAGCAACCAAACGCTGGCAAGCCTCTGTCTTTTCCTGAATTGATATGGCCAGGGCTAATGGGTCTGCTCCCGTATGCAATCCATCAGCACCTAGAGGAGCATCCCCTAGAGCAGACTGTTTCCCTGCTGTGCACTTTTAAATCTCTATGCCCCTGCAGCTGGGAAAGAAAGAGCAAGAAAGCAGCCTTGCTAGAGACAACTGTAAGGACATGTGGATTGTGTCCACACATGGTTAGACGTGATACGTGGTTTTCATATCCCTACATATATTCCCGCACATAAGCCTATGTACGTGCACACACTGCTTGTTCTGGGCTTAAAGATGATATGGCTCTGTCTGGGTATGCCTCTGGGTTTTCACATCTGCCACTGTGTGTGACTGACTGGTGAAAAGCACATCTGTACTCTAACAGCCATCATCAGCTCACACACAGAGAAATGCACGCTTGTGCTCCTCTCTCTGTGACCAAGGTAAGCAGCAAGGCACCCAATACAGCACAAGTTAGAAGAAACACTATATGGTTTCAGATGGGTCATGCTGAATTATCACAGTGGAGAACCTGATTGAGCAGGCCTGATATACCAATATCTAGCAGACATTCAGATGCCAGGCTGATGGATGTTGTTGGGAAAGGAGTAGAGTAGTGCAATATAAGGAGCAGAGCAAAGCCAAACAGGTACCTTTTTATGCAGATCTGAGGGAGATATTGACAAGTAATTAATTGCCTCCAACCAACTTCCTGGGGTACTTTTATTGGTCTGAAACTGATCCTTTGTTTTGCTTTTTTCTTTTGATAGTGGGAGAAAACAGTTATTTGACAGAGTGACAGTTGTATTTTCTTGGTAAGAAGGAACAGTGTGCTATGACACTTTACAAGAAAGCATGCCTAATTGGGCTGAACAAACAAGGAATTTGCACAATACAGTTGTAGGCAGTAATTAATTTTCACAAAGTAGTTCTTCAGGAAAGATTCACAGAAGTAGTGATGGGCAGTGCTATGAACTGAGATTTATCACAGTGGTTTGTTGCAAAATAAATTAGATTAAGACAGATGAGTTATCAACAGCACAAGAGCAATCTTGCACACATGGTACTTTGCTCTTACTTGAACTTCACCTTCTTTTCTTTTCCCATGACAAACAGCAGAATCTGTTACATTTCTGCCTACACACTTATGTACCATTTTCATGGCTCATATGGAAATAGATTGTGAATTTAGCAGTTAATGCTGGTAATTCCTTTTTCCTCTGCTTTAATGAACTTTATCAGCAACATGTATGGTTTAGTAATCTTCCCTCTCCTTTTTCTTTTTTTTTTTTTTTTTTTTTTTTTTTTTTTTTGTAATCTAGCCCATTTCTACATCTCTGCTAAGATAAAAAATATGAAGTAAGCAGAGGGCAAGAAAAAATGGTCCATGTAGTTTATTCTTCCTCCTGGAAGAATAAGATAAGCCCTGACTGCTAAGCTATTTTACTAGATATGCTCCTTGCTGCCCTGCAAGGAGCCTGGCTCATCCCTTCAGCAGTGCCTATAATTTCTTTTAATATGTCAAATCATCATTTTCCTCCCTCCCTCCCTCCCTCCCTTCCTTCCTTCCTTCCTTCCTTCCTTCCTTCCTTCCATCCATCCATCCATCCATCCATCCATCCATCCATCCATCCATCACCTAACACTCCAGTCTTGCACATCAGAGTGTAAAAAAACATGCTCAGGCTTCAGCATCATACAGGCACATAGGGAGAAACAAGATGATTTTTTCCTGAGTCTTTTTGCCTGGGCACTTTTTCTTCACCTCTCATTCACCTTATCAGGCAGCAGCAGCTGCACCAGGACCAGCCTCTGACCTTGGGCAGCTACAAAGGCTGGGTCCATATGTGCTGACATCTTCTTGCCTTGCCCAGCTGTTCTGTGAGCACATGGGAAGGGATGAGTGCAGTCTGTCTGTAATTCACATGTTCCTTTCAGCCAGTTGATTTATTCAGTATTAGCATTTGTATCTGCCCAGTTCCAGACCAATTCACCCTTCCTGGAGGACAGGCAAGGTGACATCTCGTGATTCTTTTCAGTTCAGTGGCAACCAGCTGATGTCAGAAATCACTGCCATTTTCAAAGGCCTTCCCTTGTGCATGTGATTGTTCACTCCTGTATTTGCTGTTTCCCAAATGCCACATTCCCCTGCCAGATACTACACATCAGGGCATCAGATAGCCTCATCCTGGATGTGTCTTCACTGGTTCAGGTGGAACTTGCTCCAGGGCTCGCTCCCCCTGGAGCCTTTGGTTTATAAAGCACCATCTTCCTCTTCTGCTGCTGCAGCCACAGAAATAGGAAAAAGCAATCCTTGAGATAGGGAAATCAGCTCTGGGGTTCTCAGCACAGGGAAAAAAATTGACCTTTTGGAGCAGATTCAGAGAAGGGTCATGAAGATGTTAAAGTGCTGGAGCATCTCTCCTATGAAGACAGCTCCCAAAACAGCTGTGGTTGTTCAGCCTGGAGAAGAGAAGGATCAGGGCAGATCTCATAGCACCTTCCAGTATGTAAAGGGGGCCCATAAGAAAAGGACAAACCTTTTAGCAGGGTCTATTGCAACAGGACAAATGATAATGATTTTAAACTAAAAGAGGGTACATTCAGACTATATGTAAGGAAGAACATTTTACTGTGCAGATAGTGGTGGATGCCCCATCTGTGGAGACATGTTCGAGGTCAGGCTGGATGGGGCTCGAGAGGAATCTGATCTGGTTGAAGATGTCTTAGTTCATAGCAGGGGTACTGGACTGGACGGCCTTTAAAGTTTTCTTCCAGCCCAAACCGTTCTATGCATCCATGACAAGCGGGGCTCGGGGTGCTCTGAGCAGAGCCGTGTCTCGGTGGCTCCCGGGGAGCCGGCAGCGCTGGGCAGGGTACGGGCCTCATCCAGCGGTCACACGGCATCACCTAGCGGCCACACGGGCCCTCGCACAGCGCCGTGCGGGGACGCGGGACACCGCTGCTCTCTCGGGAACTGTAATTGCCACGCTTCCTTTCAAGATAGGACTGGAAAGAAGGGAAATCTGCCCAGGGACCTGCTGGAGGGCCTCCAGGAGCCTCTGGCTAGTGAGACCCAGGTGGGAATTGGCCATCCCCTGACACTGTTAGGAAGCATCACATTCCTCACCTCATTTCTCAATGGAAAAACAGCTACGTGGATAGTGGAAGGAAAAGCCACCTTGTGTATTTAGCCAAACACTGACATATAATTTTCTAACCTTCTCCTTTTGCCCCCTGGGCCAAGTAGGCCATGGATATAAACATCAACCCCCTTTCCATGTACCTTAACCAAAGTTAAACCTTTCTAGGTAGCTTTTCTAGTGTTCATAGAAGACACCTCTAGAAATTAAACAAAACCATTATGCTGCATGAAAAGAGCAGAATACAAACTCAGTGAACTCACCTCACTGATTTCCTCTACTTTAAATCTAAAAAAAGAGGGTACAAAATTTTCCATTTCCCTCCAGGAGTGCACTCTTGTGGCCCTGCCAGGGTGGAGTGCACTTCCGATTGTTATCTGAGCGTGAGTCAGTGCCTTTCTTGAGCAATTCAACCTTCAACTTTGCATTTCCAGGGATTTTAATGTTTGCTTTAAAAATAAAAGCAAAATAAAATAAACTCTTCCAACTCTGATATTTTGGTACTATTATATTTACTCCGGCTGAATCTTAACTTCATCAGAGTACAGTTCTTCCTGTGGGATTTGGTGAATGTTTGCAAAACACTTGATTTATGATGAACTGTTGAAAATCATGTTCAGGGCCGCTATACAGCTGAGGGTCTGCTGTGCTTTCAGTATTATTGTTGTGAGGCCATTTCTTACCTCAAAGATCCTTTGACAGTTTTCCTTCCCCCATCCCCACAGTCTTGCTTCCCAGTTTTCCCCAGCAGATTTGTAGAACTTGCTAGGGCAGCAGTTGTATCACAGCATTATCAAGAAGACAAGCAGAGACCAAGTTTATTTTCCTGCACTTGGTGCTGGTTTTGTGACATCCTATTCATTACACATCTGTGGTGTTTATTTTCTCTCTCGGGGTGCAGTGCTTTGTGTTCATTAATCCCAAATGTTTCCTGGTTTCCTCCAGTCCCTGCTGCTCTCATCTCCTCAGGCTTCAGTACATGTTGTTTCTCTTCTCCTGTGGCCATTTAAATTGCAGTGTCACCCCCAAGTACTGTGAGACAATGCCAGACCTTATCCATCAGAGGCATCTCCTCGGTTCACGTGAAGGAGAAAATTTGTATTAAGTTGATGTAGAAAGCTTCCAGCCGCCATAAGTCTTGGCTTGGCTCCCAAGTTGTGAAGGGAAGGAAGATGGAGAGTTGGGGGAAGCACATTTCCAAAAAAACCCCTAAGCAAAATCCCACACCTGGAAAAGTCAAGCATGTTGACTTCAGCATGAGGAGAGTGGTGACTGTAGATACTGACAAGGATGTGCAGACATGAAACATGTTAATGTAAGAGGTGAGTTGAAACAGGCATCTGCCAGCAGGAAACCACCTTACTAACTGTTGTTTTTGCCTTCTGTGGCAGGTGATGGACAGCTCAATGCCCCTGATTGGGGAGCACATAGAAGAGGACAGACAACTTATAGCTGATCTGGTTGTTTCCAAAATGACTCAGCTTGTCGCCACTTCTGGATCTACACCATCACCACTGAGGCCTTGGGTATGAGTGAACCTTGTGAGCAAGTTATTTCCCTGACCTTCTTTCTTTCTGTCACCTTGCTGAGTGTGTCAAGCAGTCACACATCTCAGAGAGTTGAACAGTCCCATGTGGGAGTGTATTGAACAGACTGACTCCTGCTCTTCCAAAGGAGACTCTCACAGGCTCTTTGAAGTGGGCACCCCTAAGCAGCACATCTCTCTCCCTTACTCTCCTTACAGATAAGTATGACATCACACCAGTAGCATGTCCATGCATCTAGACATTCTGACTTGCTAAACTCACTGATTCACACTGAAGACAGGCATTTTTAGAGGTACTTCTAATATCCAGAATTTTCTACAAATCTATAACCCACAACCCAGTTTCATTTCTGTCTAACACCTTCCCTCAGGATAGGTTTCATTCCAGTTTTTGCATCCCTGTTCTGCTTCCAAGAACAGAAAGTGGGAATCTCCAGCAAGACTTGTTCCATTCCTTACTGCAGTTTCTTCTTCAGAGATGTCCTTTGCCACCTTCATCAGGGGGAGGCTTTACTAAAGCTGAATTCGTATAAGAACCTGTTACTTTTGCATTTAAACTGGCCCCTTAGTTCTTCTTATGTACATCCATTTTGAGTATCAAATGCATCTAATTTCACTACCACATTTCCCAGAGGCAGTTAAATATAAATGATACACCCCAGAACAGAACCTGAGTATCCAGGTATACTTGCTGCATCTCTTTCAGTATCTAACAGAGAGCCAAGTGTGAAGGTTTGAGGACAACAAATCTGTACAACAGAAGAGACAAGAGAGTAAAAAGTTGAGGGAAAAACCTGATTGCAATACACTGGTAGAATTTTCATTTCCACTTGAGACAATAAAATGGGAGAAGGCACTTTATGGTACTCTGTAATATGACAGTCCACTCCTGCTAAACCAGGACCCAGCATGAAGGGTATTTGGGGTAGCTCCAAGTTTTAGCTAGAGTGAAGGAGTAAACATTTAATAGACACTGAAAATGCTTTGAAGCAGGGCAAGTGATGCAGAAGAGATAGAATTTACAAAGTGGAATCAAGAACTACCATTTGAAATAGCCAAGATATAGAGTGCATGAACTAAGAGAAAAGGGCAATCCAACAGAAACTGAGAACATGGACAGATGCATCTGTTTTCCATGTCTGTAATATACTGATACAGGATTGGATTGGATTACGGCAGACCTAAACTGAGGCAAAAACAAGAACAAAACAAATCTTGAAGGGATAGGGTGCCTAATAGTAAAGTCAAATAAGAAAAGGGTCTTCATTGGGAATAAAACCTAGAATTACCTGTATATATAATTAAGAAAACTAAACCCACAAACATGTTAACTAGAGTGTTTTACAATAGAGAAAGGGCTCGGTGTCACAAGCATCACAAAAAATTGTACATGCTGCATTACTAACACAATGTTATAACAGTTAGAAGTGTCCAGGGAGAAATAATTAAATATGAGGCTGGTAAGATGCAGAACTACTACTACAGATGAAGACTTCCACAGAAGGAATACAAAGAGCAATTCTGAATATAAAGGCAGCAGTACTGAATACATAGTCCTATGGGTATGAATAGAATACCTATACTTATTATTGGACCTCTCTATACTAGTCTCTGGATTAAAAAAACCTGAGAAATTATGAAACTGAGTGCACAGAATTGACAGAGATGGAGAAGTAATGAGTCACAACAATGTGAGACTTCAGCTATCAAGAAGCAAGTCAAATATCACAGGGGAACAGCAATTCAGAAGGAGGTAAAAATACCTTGACTTTGCCATAAGAAACATCCAGGTACAAAGTCAGATAGTGAGTGTGTACGATTAGATTTAATGTCCAAGGGACAAATGTGATATCAAAAAGTAAGGGTATGACACAAGCGTGAGAAAAGAGAATTAATCCATTCCCTAGCAGTAAAACTGTAGAGATGCTATTTGAGAGACCACTGTGCATATATACATTTCTGATCTGCTCCTGAACAAATAATGTGAGAAATAAACTTGTAGAATTAAATTACAGGTAGGACATTTAAGACAATCAGGGAAAAAAGTCTTTCCAATTTGGAAATCTGACATTTAAGAAGACCTTTATGTGGCATCCTACAAGTAATAACAGGAAATGTAAAAAGGATAGAAATTAATTTTGAGGAGCAGATAGAGGAAAGAATGAAAAAAGTTGAGTTCTTCAGAAAATGGAACCCTACCAAACAATTGGTGGGCTCTATGGATCACCCAAATTTTATGGAGGAAAAGAAGACAACAGAGACAGTATTGTGACTCTAGTTAATGTAATTGCTGAAAGTAGGGAACTTCTTTACCTCATTATAGTTTTTCCTAATTGGAATGTCACAGAAAAAAACAAAAACAGTTATTAAGTCAGTGATGACTGATATTTTAAAAAAATTATTAAGCCCCCAATTCCAGATGGCTACATCCAATGAACTGAATTTGGGAAGTGACTAAGCTGCCAAAAAATCTGTGCAATATCATTAGAAATAGTTACTGCTCCAGAAGACTGGTGTAAAACAAATACAAACTATGTGGTTTGAAAGCTGTAAGAGTAATGTAGAAAAATTTAGACAAGTAAGTCATAGACTTTATGAATTATCTCAAATGATAATTTAAAGAAGAATACAGAAGAATAAATAAATCAGCAGAAACCACAGCTCAGGGCATTTACCACATTATATTTTTTTTTGCAAAGAAGAAGAAAAAATGTCCCATTCATTTCTTTTTGATTCTTTTCCTTTCATTTCTTTGGGAATACTTTCATGAAGTGGTAGATAACAGGCAGTCAGAATGATGTAGCTAGTCAAAAAGCCTTAGGCAAGGTAACAGACAAGCTATAAAAGAAAGCATGGAGGGGCTAAAAGGTAAAGTTTTATGGTGTAGCAGAAGCTGACCTCAGATATAGATGTTAGAGATTTTAATTCTCGCAAACAGTTAGCAGAGGGGATACTTCAAGGATACTGCACCTGGCCATGTTGATAAATGGGTTGGTTGAGCCTAGGACAGGATAAGATGTTAATGACAAGTTTGCTTTCATGCCTTCAACATGAAACCCAGTGCCATGGCTACAATGTGGTTCTGTCCTTTCCTCTCTGACCTACTACCAGAAGACCTTGGGCTGGCCCTCAGCCCTTCATCTCTCAGCCTCAAAAACCTGTTTTGCCTTTATTTCTGAGATGCCTTGGTTGGCTGTAGGGAGACACTACAGAGGTGAATAGGAGATTCAACTCCTTTTCTTTGCCTGGTCTAATCAAGACATCTCACAGCATCAGAACAGGTAATTTCCATCAACACCAAGGCAAGGTTTAGTTCCCAAGCTATGTAGGGCTAGAAGCCATGAATGGAAAAATCCCAGATTTTCCTTCCCCGTCCATTTGCAAGTCCCAGGTAAATAGTGCAAAAGATGGACTGGCAACTTCATCAGATTTATGCTAGTCAGTTGAAACTAATTTCAATGTTTTCAACTATGAAACATTTCTTCACATTTCCAGAATCACTTAGCTCATTCTTCTGACCTTCCAGGAGCCTTGAAGACCCTTTTATCATGATGTTCTGCATGTAAATAATCCAGCATGTACCAGCCTATCTGTCTCCAGCTTTTCTGGTTTTCATAAACAATTTTGTGCAATAGGCTTACTCAGACTTTTGTTAACTTTGGACCAGCCCTTTGTGCAGCAGCTCTACATTGCTTAATCTGTTTATTAAAATATCTGTCAAAAAGATTAAACAGTGAGAGAGAAGAAAGAGCAGATGGCACCAAATTATTTGCATTAGTCAGGACCAGGGATGGCAGTGAAGAACATCTGACAGAGCTATGTATGTTCAGTCACCACAACAGCAAATGAAACTCCATATGGAAGACTGAAGGGTAAGCAAAGCTGGGGGTAGAGAGAGGGAGAGCATAAACAATATGCAGAACTTTCAAGTGGCACCAGCCATTCCCTTGTGAAATACTTTGTCGCGTACAGGCTAATGAAAACCATTGCTCAGCCTATGGTTGTGTTGACAAGGGAAAAGCAGGAAATTAGGATGCAGGAAAAATGAACTGGTAATGTATACAGAGAACCCAGATATTGCTTCATCTGGAAAAATATAAGCAGACCCATCTCTGGCATCTGCAGGAGAAATTACAAAGCTGGGAAAGAGAAGTTGGTGGTGAAAACAATTAGGGGCTTGGAAATATTCCCATGGAGGGACTGGAGGGATTCTGAAGTCTCTTGGCTTTAGAAAGGAGGTAAATGAGAGAGAGGGCAGTGAAGGTTTGCAAAATAATAAACGGCCTAGCATGGGCAGTTGTGAGAACTAGTCTCAAAACAGAACAAAGCAACAGAGATAAGAAATGGGAAAGACAATGAGGCTGAAAGGTGAGCACGACTCAAAGGGTCTGAATGTAAATATCAAAACAAAATATCTGAAACTGTTGCAAAGATTTTGTGGAGCAGATAATAAGCTTCATGTTTCAGGGCTGAAGCTGACCCATGCTTATTAGTAATCAAGAGGAGACCCCTTAGGGTACAGAGATGATTACTCCATAGACATTTCCATGGTTCATCCCTCCTTCCTTTGGAACATCTGGTGCTGGCAACTGTCCAAAATAGGAGATGGGACTGAGAGAATCCCTCAGGCCAGATACTTTGGTAATTCCTGATTGCCTAAAAACATTCGAAATTTTCATTTCATTGTTATTCCCTGTGAGCAAACAACTTCTATGCTCTTTTTGACTCACCTCTCCATTTTAGTCCCATGAGATTTTACCAGCCAGATGCTGCATGTGTGTGAGTGTATTTAAGGAACACTTCATGACTCTACAGTTCCTATATTACCTCAGGGCTTCTCTTTAGGGACTCTGTATTAACTGGACTGGCTTTTTTCCCTCTAGCCTCCACAAGCTCAGCCTGTGTCAATGAAATCTCAGACTGGACCTCCACTTGGACAACTGTCACAACCACGGCCTCCTCCACAAGGTACAGTTCTCTGATTCCCATGTCAGTGGTGACTCTGAGTCCTATCAGTTTGCCTTCTAAATAAAAGGTATCAGGGTAAAGGTTTTGCTCATTTTCCAATTCACTGCCAAGCAGGCAGCAAATTCAGTATACTATTAAAGCAAACACTGTCATATTCCACAGAAGCTCATAAAGTGGGATGAAAATTTGATATAAATCCAGTTGATACCACTGGTAGGACTTGGCTCAGCAAAACAAGGCCACTTGAACGGGCACTGGAGCAGGATTGTGGGCACAGAGTATATTGTGTTTGCACAAAGCTGTGCAGCTGCAAGTGTTAAGAATTGATAAGAAGGTGCTAGTGTTGTCAGGCTTGGAACAGACATCAATGTTGCAATGCCAGGATCCTTGATCCATCTGTCCAGGAGCTCCCATGTCAGCAAGAGCACACCTCCAGCTCCTCCTGACAGCAGAAGCAGTTCTGAATTATGTGGCTTGGTCAGAACAAGAGATTTGGCTTATTGTCCTGATGTATGCTGAGGTGATGAAGCACAGGGCTGCCCCATGGGTAGTCAGATCACACCAACCACTCAATTCACATAACTCATTAAACCCTCATTTTTGCCACCTTCCCTTCCTTTCTCCATTGCAACTTTCTACCAAATTAACACCCTCCTCTAATTATCTTTTCCTCATTGGTCATCATTTTGCATTTTGCATCCAAAATTGAGCATTTCTATGTAATCTTGGCATTCCATACTATTACTGATATGTGCTGTTGGTCTTGTAGGATACTACTCTCCATCTGTCTCCAGTACTCCCCTTCAATTCTCTGTAAAACTTTTTCTCACATAACTCCCCTGACCACCTGTGAAATCCAGCCAGACCTCACAACACTATCTGCAACTTTTGTCTCACAGTATTATCTGTCTTGTCCAGCAATTTCTCATGTCATGTCCAATTGCTTTCCACATCCTCTTCAGTTCTTACAGTCTGCTGCCAAAGCAACTGAAGGCACTGGGTGATGGTTCTAGAACAGAGGGTAGGGATAGGATGGAATGTCTCACATCAAACTGCTGGGCCCGTGAAGGAACTGCTGACCCAAACCAGCAGGGTCAGCTTACATTTCCCACACAGTTGCTTCTCCAGTGACTCTTCCTTACCCAAGCAGGAAGTGCTCACCAAGGATAAGAAACACCAGATACATGAAGAGTAAGGCAGGTTGAAGTGACTCCCTTTGGGGAGAGCAGAGAAATTTCTTTAGTGTTGAAGAAGGTAGAGAAATGGACAACTCTAGAGAGAAGGAAATCACACCAATTTTAGGCCTGTAAGAGAGTATTTGCCATATTCTTCTCCATAAAGCTACTCCAAAGAGTCTCTCCTCTTAGCAAAACCCACCCTTCCATACAGATGATCCATGCTTTTGCCCACCACATGCACTTCCTCACGTTTATGTCTACATGTCCCTTTCAGGTGGACCACGCCAGCCACAAGGATCTCAGCCTCCCCGAACAAACGCACCCCCACAGCAGCGGCTGTCTCCTCAAGGACAGCAGCCCCAGAGTCCCCAGTCCACTTCCCCTCAGCAGCAAAGGTCACCTGGATCTCCACAGCAAATCCGATCAGCAACTGGCTCCTCTCCAGTGCAGGCCTCCAAGGCAGGCGCGTTCCCTCCACAGCAGCCTCGGCCTCCTGCCCAAGGCCGGGCTCCCAGCCAGCCGAGCCCCACGGAAATGTCCAAGCAGCAAACCACCCCACACCCACACCTGAAGTAAGTCTCTGACAGACTCCTAGTATCTGTAGACATTAGAATAAGGCTGTCCAGGAAGTATCCTGAGATGATGTGGAGAATATATCATCTGTTGTCAAGCAGCAGTCCCCAGGGAGAAAGGCCTGCACAACTGTGAGTGACTTCAGAGGCAAATGTGTGCATAACAGCACACCAGTGACCGGTTGTCAGGAAAAACAGGTTGTATTTGACATCACAAAGATTTCACATTATTCCTCTTGTTCATGTGCTCAGCGTTTATCATGTGCTCTACCCTGGACATATCAACAGAGCCACCACCTTCCCAGCAGGGTGTATAATCCTCACAGGCTGCGAACAGCACAACATTGGCCAGAAAGCTCACCAGGGGTTATTCCTTCACTATTTCCTAAGTGCAGGAGCCACAAAGGTTCTTTTTGCATTTGGTCACAAAAAGGCTGGGGAGACAGGGGGAAGTGGCCCTATTATATGTATATAAAATTCCAGATGGTGACTGTATGTGGAAGCACTCTTCTGGAGCAGAGCACACTGGTGAACTGTTGTGGATCTTTGGAAGCAGCTTTTGCTGTCACCCTGTGTGGAGAATATCTAGCTGGTGCCATGACAGGAAAACTGACCAAAACAAGGTCTGATGCTGACAAAAAGTTAACACAAGAAAATTGGTATGAACAGGCCAGAATAAAACATAGACTAGGAATAAGAAGACAATTTCTGAGAAGCAGAGGAGCGATGTTCTAGAACAAGTTTTCAGTGATCATGTTTACACAAGCAAGACAAATTAAAGGAGATGTACTTAAGGATCAAATTGTTGGTGCTAAGGATGCAGTCACCTCATCATACATATTTCAAATAATTTTTCCAGTCTACTTTTGTGCTGGATACCTATTACTGATCAGAATAGACTTAGCATGGTAGCAGGGAAAACTGGGACATTTACTTCAAAAGCACGTCCTGATCTGAACTTGATCGCTAGCAGATACACAGTCAGCAGGAGCAGTGTGGTCAACCCAAAGACCTGCATTACAGAGTTGACAGTCAGAGCAGACAGGCTGGGGAGGGCAGGAAACAGCCCACACTGCAGGGGATCTGGATACCAACTTACCTAGCCTCTTGGGCTCTCACAGCTGAAAGGCCAAGACAATCATTCCTGGTAAGGCTGATGAAAGACAGGTGACCCCCATTATTAATCTCTTCTTCTGTCTTAGTAGTGAAATTACTTCAGGGTGTCTCACAACAGCCTCACCAAATAGCAACTGCATACTTCTAGTCAGATGTTTTCATCAACACCTACCAGTTTGGACTGAGCCACTTGCCCATGCCTCATTCTGTCCCACCTCCCCCATTCCTGGATATCTTAGCACATGGATATTTTCCATGCCAACTTATCTTTTTATCCACAATTTGTTTTTGTGATGAAACACAAAGCATGAGTAACCAGCTTTGAATTCCCACCCTCTCCTGCTGAGACTGAACTCTGTTTTCCCTTTCAGCAAATCGCAGTCCCTGACAAACAACTTCAGCATACCTGAGTCATCTCAGCGAGGAAATGCCACTGAAGATGAAGCAAAAGCTGAGACCATCCGCAACCTGAGGAAATCATTTGCTAGCCTGTTTTCTGATTAACAGTCCTGCAGCTGGATCTGTGCTTTTGTCAGCCCTCATTCTACATTATGTCGTACCTGATGTCATCCTGGAATACACTCAGTGAACCCAGCGATTTACAACTAACACCTGGGTAAAGGGAATTTAGAGAACTATAGTTGTTTTAATACAAAGAAAATATTCAAATAATGATCTGAAAAGTGACTGTATAAAAGTGTCAGTATTTCATTGGGTTTTGTGCATAATCAGAATAATATCTGTTCTAAGTTGTAAAGCAAATTTTACTCTTGCTAACCCCTGTGGAGTCAACACAGTTATGACAGTGCAAACTAGGTTTTATTTTAATTTGTATATAGTCAATACAATTAAATTCCAATTATTGAATTCTTGTTAAGATCAAGCTAAAAAAAATTAGGCTTCTTTCAGAAACACCCATGCAAAGGCAGAGTCAAGAATAAGTATCCATTGAACAACAAAGTGAGCATGCTTGAGCATCCAGTGAACTGTGGAATTTCATTACAGCAACTTCATAAAAGGTCACTTTTCAGAGAAAAACTACGTTCAAGATAAAGACGGTACCAGGCATCAGTAAGCACCAAAGATCACAAAAGCAGGTCAGCCAGATGGTCTGCTGCTTTATTCCAGATCATTCTGCTCATAGCAGATAAAACATCTCTGTTTCATGCCTTGCATTTATGTCCCCTGCGTGTGACTCCCGAGGTCTGAGAGAAAAATGTCATGTTCTAACCCTGTAGCCTTAGTTCAAAAATAACCTAAGAAATGTGTCTTCCATACAAAAAAACAACTTCTTCCCCTGCCCCTGAAAACACCAGAGTTCACACTCACAGTTCACACAAATTCCAGACAAAACCCAGCTAAACTCCAAGCACTTTGGTGACTTGGTCACATCTGGCTGTGTATGTCCCTCAGGAACATGCTTAATTAATAGCAGATCTGATGAAGTGCACATAGTTGCGTGCTGAGTGTTCCATAATACTGAATGGACAGAGAGATGGAGTGAAATCCTGTCTCCCGCCTTGAATTCCCACTGACTTTGCTGGGGTGAATGCAAAATGAATGCAAGGTGACAAACTTGCAATAGAACTGGAAAATTACATTTCACAAATAAGATGACCTGGGTCCTTCCTGAGATACCAAACCACAGAAGGGCACATATGGGATTGTCCCAAGCAGTAACAATCAGTATTAGTTCTCCCTGACCATTCCCAAGAATTATGCTTCCAGAGAAGACAGAGATGGATCTTTGCTGATGTGCTTTTCCTCTAATCCTGCAACACTGAAAGAAGCTGTGTGTGTCTGTGCACATAGACTGGAACTGGGACATGACAAACCCCACACAAGCTGTGTTCATGATTGAGAAAACTCATCCTAGGTAAATCCATAAATTTCTAGCTATTTATACCAGCTGAGATCCTACCCCTTGCACCCTGGGAGGTCTGTTAGGAACACACCTAATGCAGGTGCCAGTCCTCATCTCACCTCCTCGACATGCAGCTTTGAGGCCAGACTTGGCTTTGTGCTTCCCTTGGCAACTTCACCATGATGATACTTAAGAATGCCCAGGGATGTCAGTAAGTCAAAAAAATATTTGAGCCAATGGCCCAGATCTTTGCTGTCACTTAAACAAGGAGATCCCCAAAGCAGCAAAAGCAACATCTGCATTAGCCATCTTGGATCTTATGATTCACTGGTGGGACTAAAGCCAAACAAGGAAATCCTTCCTGCATAGCACCTGTAATGAACATCTAAATCCAATGAAGTCATCTGGACCTTGTATGACCTACCCCTGAGCAGGCCTTTGCACATATAATGACAAATAGCAGCTTTTCCAGATTGGAAGTCCCTCAAGAGACTCATCTGGATCAATGACTGATACCTCGAGTTCGGTATTACAGAATCATCTTCTTCTCTGATGGTTTGTCTTCTGTTTTGCTTTCCTCACCTCTGTGCTGTCCTTCAGGGTTTGATAAGCAGTTTACCATGTAGTATCATAAATATATGTCATCATCTGAGAAAAAAAAAAACAGTCCCTGCTGTGTTGTCTCCAGGAGCAATAAAAGAGTGAGAAATGGCCTTGAGCAAGCAGTGTCCCACTGGCAAGAGAAGTAGATTAACAGGCTTCACTATCTGTAGAAGAGGATTTCCTTCTGTAACACTTCTCTCAGCATGGTTTATGCCTTTGCCTTCTGAATGGCCACCAGAGATGCAGAGACAGAAAGTTTACTGAGAGAATCCTCAATTGCTTTATCCCCTGAAATTCCATTATTCCCTCATCAATAGGCCATATACAAAAAAGGAATGGTGACTAGTATGACATGGTCCCATAAATCAACAGCAGTTCATCACTGAAAGTGCAACAGCTGGGTCATTTGCTGAGGCTGCATTTGAACACAGCAGGGCTATCCTCTGACAGACCACAGGAACAGGACAGTACTGTCAGATTTCATTCCCAGTAGTGACTCAATCTCTTCATTTGCCTACAGCTCCCAGCTGTCGCCTTTTGAGGCACAAGCAAACAGAATTGCATCTCACTGCCTAGCTTTAAGTTGTAACATCAAGTACAAACAACAGGCACTCTCAGCTTAATTTAGTTAGTCCATGGTTCCTGAAAAAGCACCTTCAGTTCTATTCACAGAAGTGCTTTAAAGCAGTGAGTTGATTTCTAAAGCTAGAATGATGAAAATCTGCTGTGTCCTGTAACTGTCCCAACAGTACACTTCCCATCTACAGTTATGATGCTCACATACTAGATGTGCTAACAGGAGATTCACAAATGCATCATCCCATCTTCAAATTATCACCTTTGATGCTGGCTTTCTACTCCAAAATCTCTACCCTCTAGAAAAAGAGAAGAGGGAATACAAGGGGTATTCTTCTTTTATATGAATGGGAAACAAAGGTACACCCAAGAGGCATTTAGGTACCTAAATATAACAGTAGGGCAATAAGAAAACAACAGAAAAACTGGTAAAGAGAAGCTACATTTAAATCACAAGCCACACAGCACACTGTGGGATCTTTCTCACACAGATGTGAACACTGAGAACGTGGTCAAAGCTTCTTTTGTCCTATTCGCTTTAAGTTTCTTCACATGGAAGCCAGGAAACATGAATAGGTTTGTGTGTTTGGGTCCAGCCCATGAAGTAGCTGGGACACAGCTATGACACCCAACCATATCCACCACCTGGAAAATTAGTTTACATTTTGCTGTTTAGCTACAAACTGAAGAACACTTTGACTTTCTTGTCATAGCTAGGTGTGGTATTTCAAGAGAAATGGAACACACATTCCCAGGCAAGCTAAGGTTCAGCAGAACAGCAGTCCTGCTTAAAAAATACCACTTCTAAATGCAGTGGTATTTTATAGTCTTCCACTAATCACAAGCAGGTAGGTAAGACCTTGTGTACGACTCATAGGCCTTGTGTATGGCTCAGCCGCTTCATCTGGTTGGCCTGAAGTTTCATTATTAAGATAATACATAGAAAAGCCAAGGATAATAGTTCCTTATTTCCAAGTGACTCAGTAGCAACCTTTACAGTGCAAGATACTGATTAGTACAGGTAAGGAATGCTCATCTTAAGGCATTGCATCTTTTGTGATTTCTCTTTTATCATTTGCAAAAGCAATGATATACACACAACTTAGGAGCTGGGAAATAGAAAAAAAAAAAAAACAAGCAACTAGTTTTCAAGTATTTTCTCTGTTTTGTCTTCTAATTTTATAGTTGGTCCTGAGATACTCACTTTATACTTTATACCCTGTTTTATGAATAACAGGAACTCCTCTTTAAAGAACTTTACAGTTCCAGCTAAGTCAGGTTTCTTAATCTTTGGTTCACAACACCTTTACTACAATGTGAGGTACAACAAAAAAAGGAAGGAGTATCTTCAGGTCACTTAGTGGTGTATGTGTAAAAGGGCTGAGTTCATTACTTCAAAACCAAACATTTCAATGACAAAATCCAGGATAAACTGAACCTCTGGCATCAGCCTGCAGAAGTATGACTTCATGGCTCTCTTCAGCAAAGAGGGCCCAATTCCAGAGCAGCACATGGCTTGCCAGCAGGGCAAACCATGCAACTGTCACCAAGGTATTGGCAATGTGAGCACCACTGGCACCACAAAATTAACTTCTAACACACATTATGTGATCACTGTTCCCAGAAATAGCTTGGAAAAAAAGAAAAGAGGTAAGTTATGAATTATTTTATCAGTTAAAGCTCTGTAACCTTATCTCAGTATTATTTACGCATTGCTTGAAGCACTGCTGAAGCATCACAAGCACAAAATTGTGCAAGACCAATACAGTGTAGATTTACCTTTTCCTTTTTATAGTAAGTTGAATATGAAGAATTGCTGCAAACTCTAAGAGATCTGACTATGCATTTCACTGGTGAAAATGCTTTTGGAACAAGGCAATTCAACCACTGAAGGCAAAAGTTAAAAGTTAAGGCTAATCTTGGTAGGGAAGGAAAACTATCTCTGGGAAGAAGAAAAGGAAGAAAGAAGCAATACAACTTTTGACAGCAAAATAAAATATTATATTTTACTTCCACTGGCAAAACTCCCTGACCTTACTAATGTCAGCTGATTTTATACAAAACGAGAGGATGAACTATTGAAATCTCACCAGAAAAAGCACATAAGAATTACTGATTAAATAGCTTGTATTTAACAGGAAATGTCATTCCATTTCCACAGCTGGAATTTCAAAAAAGTTTTAGAAAATAGTATCAGTTGTCACAACAGCCATTAGTACCATTCACATTTATAGAAACACTGAGATCAATCATCTTAAAAAATACATAAGAAATTAAAAGTTCTAGCAAAGTTCAGTCGTTTCAGTCTTCCTTTAATTGAGCTCCAGCATCAGTTTGCAGGTCTCATCAGGAAACTTTAACAGTGGTCTTGTTAGCTGCTCATTAGTTAATAAGACAACACTTGAAATGTGCTCATAACATGCTACGACACATTTCTTTTTGGCAAGTTATCATCTGATACTTAAGTAATGGAACTAAATGGAATTTACTAAAGTCAGAACACATTCTGCTTATGTTGTTGTGATTCCATCCCCACTGTAACCACGTTCAGCCTATTTAATTCTTTAAGTATGTCAGATAGGAAGAACAGATGCATTTTCACACCACTTTTAGTTCAAACACAGTAAATGCAGTCGCGTACTACAGATCCTTATTTGTAAAGTCAAGGACAAAGTCAAAAGTTTTGCTGCTAATTCTTTGTAAAATTGCTCTGCTTCTGCTTAAACTTCTGAGTTGCACTGTGGCATGACTTTACTCAATTGTTTGTAAAATGAATTTATTTGTGTTCTAATATTTCCATTGTAAAGAAAATCCCTTTGCTGTATTCTTTGTGCATTAAGTAACAATACAAAAATGCTTTTTACCTAATAAAACATTAAAGGAAAAAGGAAACAACACCTTTAAAAATTTCCATGAACACACATCCACCATAACAGCGGCAGTATCCTGTTCTATGTGGTAACTTTTTTGTTAATAACGATTATTAATTAGCTGAGTAGATTTTAAACAAAACCTTTCATCCTGGCAATGCAGTAAAACTCTTCAAATAAAACAGACAAGTAGAGGGTTTGTATTTAAAGTGCTCTTTATCTGATGCAGTAAGGATTTGGCTGTTATTCTGGTCTCTAAGTAGCACTTCACAGACGATCAAGGGCAAGGAGGGGGCAGCAGAACAAACTGCTCTAAGTCGTAGCTCTTTGAGGAACAGACCTTAAGTGCCAGGTGATACAGCACTACCAGAGCACAAAACAAACCCAGCCTCTGCAGTTGGGACATCACCATGCACACATGTTCTTGACACAATCTGAAGGCAGATGTTAGTGCCTGGGATCTGCAATCTCCTACAGTTAGAAAGCAAGCTCAGCAACTACAGAACTCCCTGCAGGAAAAAGCAGCAATCAAATGAATGCACGGCGAATGTCCATGGGGCGGCCCCGGCTGGGTCGAGGTGGAAACCTGTCACTGGGACCAACTCGTCCTGGAAGCGTGGGGTTTGCTCCAGGCAGGGAGCCAATGGGGTCAAAATGTGGTCTGAATGGAGGAAACTGACCTGGTGCTTCTCCCTGGCCAGGAATGAGTGAGTTAATTGGGTCTCCAACATATGGAAGTGTTGGTCTCTCATCATATTCTCCCCCAATGATCATTGGGGGATAGATTGGATTTGATGGGAATGGGTTGGGTGGAAAGGGATTAGGATAGAATGGGTTGGGATGAAAGGGGATTGGATGAGGTATAGGGGGTAGAAGCATCATGTGCCTCCATCTCAAGGCTTCCTTCTTCTGTTTCAACTTTTTCTTGTATAGCTGCAGACAGAAAAAAAAAAGTATTTTAAAGCTCTCTAAGTGTTCCAGCTTCAGCAGCTGCATTCAGTTTTACAGCACATGCTCCTCACCACCCTGAAAACTCAGACCAGCAATTCCCCTGCCCACCAAAGACCAGGCACAGCACCCCTGAAGATCTCTAACCCTCATGAAGCATGCACCACAACTTGTTGATGTTCCTTTCAGCTAGTCCGACCAACATGCACACACAGAATACCACACTTCTAACCTAAACTTTAACTCAAAGTTACTGCATCCCAAAGTCTATACCTAATTCTCAAACTAAGATTGATCTGAGAGAGATTATATTAAAAAGCCACCTACTTCTTTCCAATCTGTGTCACGAGGTCTTGCAATAGGATCTACAAAGCAAAGCAAAGCATTAAGAAAAGCAACAGATCTGGAGATACCTGCAGTTTGTCAGAATTCAAAGAATAATCAAGATATAAAAAACACTTTTGGTCAATACATCTTTTTCTAAAGATAATGTATCTTAAAAAATATAAAGCTCCAGGTCCATTTGATAGGTAATCTACTTGCACACCCATTCCCATGTAAAGCATGATCTTGAAATGTTATTAAATACAGAAATCCCAGAAACATCATCTCTGCCTTCGCCTTCTGACAGCACTTCCCCTGATTACCTTTGTTTCTTAACTCTCTTGTGAGAAATTGAAGCAGGAATATACCTTCCCCCCCATTTCCTAATATCTGCAGTAGCCAATACACCAAGGCAGCAAAGGAAACAGATGGAAACAAGGACAGCCTGCACCACACAATGGGATGAACCATGTGGAGCATCAATAATGGCTCAGAAGATTGCCAACCATTTTCCTTGGTAGAAAACTCTGCATCCCCTTGAATCACACACTGATGAACTGTACTGATAAGTATCACAAACAACTGCATTCACTCACAGTGTTTCAGTATCATTACTGGTTGCCTGAGGAGCCTCTTATCAAAGCCTGTCAGAACTAACCCCTCTGTCAACATGAGAACGTAATGAGAAAAAGGTGTGCCTGACATTACCTCGGAAATCCCGCAGGTACATAAACCTCCACAGAAGCTGGTCATTGGAAGCTGTGTAGAGATCACGGCAAACAGCCGAGAGAGAGATGAGGGAACGGACATCCAGGAGTCTGAAAATCCGAAGCTTGAGCTCAAGAGGAAGGACCACTAACCCAAACACATCTGGCAAGTTCAAAGCTACAGAAAGGAGAAAGTAAGTTCAGAAAAAATACAGTAAACTCAACATCTCTTAGGTAGTGCTTCTATCTCCAAAGACCCTAAAAGAAAGAAAGAACATTATAATCTTTCCCTTACATCCTCTCCCTATGATGCTTGAGCACTTTTCTGAGCAACTACTGTGATGTGACTCCTTGCAAAACAGATCTCTTGCAACTCTAACTACACTTAAAAGGTGCACAAAATAGGACAAATGACACTTTATACTGAGCACTATGACTAAGAAACATTGCATACCAAATTATGCTTATAGGCTACAGAGCTAAGGAATAAGTAAAGGGAAGAAAGACCTGCCCAATTTCATAACCCTGCAAAAAAGACAAATATAGAGCACATTCTTCACATAAAATCTTCATGTACTGAAGTCTAGAGGGAATTCCATTGTCTTCAGAATAGAAAGCTGAGATCGTTTATGGCAGTAAGTATGCAGAGAAAGCCTGGCTTCCTACTGGTTCACAAACACCAGCCTGGGTTACTTCCTACCATCCTTTCCAAGCCCTCAATGATCGTTCCTAGTAAGATCATTCCTAAGGTCAGACTTCCAAACATGATGCTAAATAAATGTTTCTGTTTTGACAAAGAAATAGATCAAAACTACAGAACTACTGCTATAAAATTATTGTGGTAGGATTTCCTCATCATTATGCAAGGAAAACAGCCACTCCATTTCCATCTCTGAAGTGAGAGTAGAGCAATCAAAATTAAAACCAGAATTATATTAACATTTTCTGAGTTACAAAGATTAATGTGATTTCTTTAGCATGTATATTTTACTTTACTTTTACTGTTTATACGCCTATTACTGAACAGCTATTTCTAACACTCTTCCTTCAAGGCTTTAGATTGACTCCCTTCCTTCCATGCTCAAAAATTAAGTTCCATCTTTAATTGCAAATATTTTCTCTCACCTTGTCGGGCAGCAGCTAGGAGAGAGTAAACCAGCTGGTCTTTAAAGAGACGGGACAATTTCTGAAGGTCTTTGTAAACACCTGCAACCTTCTCTATCAAAGAAGAGAGGGAAAAAGCTTAACTTCAAGAGGTTATAATGCAACAATTATATAAGAATTACAGTTTTCTTATTAGCACAGCTTTTTTTGGCTTGTGATCTTGATAGGAGCAGCTCTGCATCTAGAGTGTAATAATCCTGCAACAAGTCAGTCATTGAAGAACTAGACACCATGATTGGGCTAAGCTTTTCCTTCAGCCTTAGAACGCACAGTTAAGGGAAAGACTTGAGTTTTCTGGAAACAAACTGATTCTCAAGCTGTCAGAGCTTCCTTTGTCAGACTTCAAAGCTCCTGCCTAACACAGATCTATGTTCTAAGAGACTGCAACCTTCATTTCCCTGACAGAAGTACTCTTCCATGCTGTTCTCTGAAGAAAAAGGAGCAAGAAGACTTTAGTGTTATACTGGACACACTTCAGCAATCAGTTCTTCTACAACCTTTCAATTAGACTTGTATATCAGGGACTACAGAGAACATAGGAAATTGAGTCAGCCTGGACTGCCAGTAAAGCAACTCATATCCTCCAGAGAATACAAGGATGGTCAGGTCTGTGCTCACAAAGACCCACATGGATCTGCCCTTCTCTCCTCTTCCAACTTAGTTTTCACTCTAATTTTGGCACTCTGGAGAAACTATGTGGTCAGCATATGTTTTCTGACAAAAGGAATTTAACAACTACAGTACCACAACAAGAGTGCAGGTACCACCAGCCTCTGAAGCTCTGAGCTGCCAGGCAGAAAAGGGATATCACTCAGCACTGCTGTCCCAGAGATTCACACATATGCCTAAGACCTCATAAATAACAGGCATATGGGCCAAATGATAAACTGAGCTTTACAAGGTTCTTTCCTTACATTGTTAATCCAAGAAATACAATTTGTTCTAACAACAAAATGTGAGTAAATGGCTACACTCTGAAATCCTTTTGCCAAGAAGTTATGACTAACCTAAATGGTAACCACACTTTTATTCTCTTTCACTATTCTGTACCTATTTGGTGTTCTACTAAAGCAAATTCTTACCCACTGTGTCCCTTCTTTACTTTTCAGTTTACTGCTATGAGATCATAGCTCAGGCATACCTGGGTCCTGAAAGCAAACAAAGGATGATGGCAATAGCTGGATTCTCTTAATACTTCTAATCTCTTCGTTGATTTTTAATGTTGCTACAAATAAAAGAAAGAAAGAAAGACATTTCAAAATTCAAAATACAGAGAGATAACAAAGACCACTTCATTACTTAAGTAATACATAGTCTGGAAGTTTTAAGTCTTGCAGAAAACATAAAAGAAGCCAAAACATTGTAGCTGAAGCAAATCTACTTCCTTCATGACTGGCAATGTGTACCAAAGTTCCTATGAAATGAGACAACAAACACATTTCTACAATATTGCAATGAAAAGGCCAGCTGAAACTCCTAAGGGTTAATCTCTTAAAACAAGAGGGAAAAAAACTAGTCAACACAGAGACTGGAAAAGAGTATTCAGCATCAGGAAGTGGCATCCTCTGCACCTCAACAACCCAAGTAATAAAGGTGCAGTTAAAAAGACACAGAAGCACACTCCAGTTCTCTCTTCCTAAACAGCGGTGATACTTAGGAATGTGCATCCAGGACAAAGACTTGATTGACTTACCATTAATAGCAATAAGATCTCCCAGAGGCACACAAGTCAAACCAGCAGACCCTTCTCCACAAAGGGGATGTGTGTACTGTAGCTTATAAACACCATTCCCTCTCCATTTCTCTGGCATGGAGACTGCCTTGGCTTCTATCCCCTACAAATGTAAAGGGATAACAAACACAGTCATACTTTAGCAATGTACCAATGCTGAAGGGTGAGAAAAGGATCAGAAGTTAGGAAATGGCAGAATGGTGCTTGCAATTCAACTCTCAGATCAGTTCTAATGACTCAGTGATTATGAATATATAGGATTACACACATTTTCCCCAAAACTAACAGCAAATCTAAGTGAAGTTCAGTATTTTTTGTCCTGACAGGAACAGACATTCAGTGAGCACTCACACCTCTTTCTTTGAGACATATACTTCATTCTGTCATCCATTCCAGCATTCTGACAACTCCTGCACATAATTAATTTGCTGCTCAAAAAAAAACTATTGCACCTTTTCTGTGAACTTATCGATTTGACAGGGCTTTAAGAATGATAGTTTGAAGTTAATTAGAATACCTAATTCAACTAACAGATTTGCTTTCAATTTCAGTATGAAACAGCTCATATGGATTATCACAGTGGGATACAATATAACCACAAGCACAAGTAGGTTCCTTCTTTCCTCGTAAATCTGCACAGCATTCATCTTCCCTACCTCCAAGCCTGTTCACTGCCATAAACTTTATTCACAGTGGCAAATGTATTCTTTACATAGTACTTCAAATTATGGTGCTACAATGAACTTAGCAGATTTATTAAATTGGTATTGGTCAACCAGACACCCACATGTGCTTAGTCAGCCTCACTGCAAGAAAAAAGATGAGAATTTAAACACCTTACAGAGACCAAATCTTTTTCTCCATGTTCAGCCATGTATTAGTAAACATAAAATGCAAATGAAAAGGGGAAAAGCGAATCCATACATTGTACAGATGTACTGCCATAGGTGTTTGAGTACAATACCTCTACAGATTAGTACAATCAAAGCCAAACTTAGCACTAAGTTGAAAATGGAATTAAAGACACCTTTTTGGCAGACTTAGACCTCATTAAATACCATTTGACAGGATATCACTGAGATGATACCAACACTTAAGGCAGTATTTTGGGGAAGTGCCACAATCTAAGCATATTTTCACATGCTCTATAGTAAAAGGCAGAAGCAGGAGGTTCAGTTGGGTCCCAGTGAGGCTGAGGACCAACAGAAACACAAGGATAGGCCTCTTCTTCTAAAAGCTGCTCCAGTCTTCAGCCTGAAAACTTTCTGGGAATTTTGAGAAGCTGATCCTCCAGCAGCCCCTACAGCAAACTGACATATAGAAAGGCAGAAGAAGATCCTCAGATGCAGCTTGTATATTCCACAGCTTCCCCACACTGACCCAGAAACTTCTGTTTCTGCTGCACCTACCTACCTGAGGTACATAGCCCGTCTCCATCATGAGAAGATGAACCAGAACGATCAAGGCATCAGTGGCACTGGTACACTCAGCAGAAAGGTAGAGCACCTCTAAGGAATGGGGTGTTTCACCATCAGCAGCCTCACTGCACAGCATGGGTTCGGAGGGATAGGAACCTGTACTTTCTTCCAGGTCAGGATCTTCTGGGACTAATCTAGAAGGAAATTCTTGGCTGGATCCTGCCTTCAGGGGAAAGCAAAGCATATATTTGTTCAGAATATTACACCTCTATATACATCAACATTATACAGCTGCTTATTCCAGCCTGATTCCCCATACAAGTCATATGGATTCATTATACCTCCATTTTCTAGCATTCCAGATGGAGACTGGGATCATATATGTAGTCCTTGTGGTTTTTAATCTTTATAATGCAAACCCTTCATGAAAGGGTCTGTCATTTTGTTGTACATGCTAACTGAAGGCAAAGTGATCATAGTATATTAAACCTTCATCAGAATTTTTGCAACTTACATAGGAATAATTTAATCACTACAGTATCAATATTTATTTGAACTTAGCCAATATGCATGGCAAGTAACCCAAATGCCAACTTGGACTGCCAACAAACACAACAGGCCTAAACAGCAGAGGAGGGAAAAAAAAAATCAATCAATGGAGTGCATCTGCTGCCACTTGAGGAACACTGTGGCTTCATTGTAGCTTCCTTTCTTATAAATCATGGCATGTTACTAATTAACTGACAAAACTACACACAGACACATTATTAAATAAAAGCAGAATGGAAACTGTAAGCAGTAAGGGTCAGGAAAGGGAGAAAAGATAAGAGCCTATCTTCAACACTGCCTGTTGCATCTGCCCCAGTCTAAACTCGGTTCCTCAAGAGGGCACTGAGGAAGGCAAGAAACATCATCCTTACTTCCTTAAGTGCATGTTCCAGCAAAAACATATACTCCTGTAAACCTGAAACACTCTGGGCTCTCTTCTGTGCCACAGTGATATACAATGAAGAGAGACAAATTTCCATTCAAATAACTGAGCATGTATGAGACAAGGATAAGGAGCCAAATATTCCCAAGAAATTCACTTCTATATAGCACAGCAACTGACACAACAGGACACCTTCCTTTTTGCCTTGTGCTGCACAGGAAAATTCCCATGTACTTACCCTCTCACCACTCTCTTGAACTTCCACCTGCCCTTCTCTTGCACTGTTGGCCTGACTGTTGGACGGCTCATGACCATTCTGAAGTGGGGCTGGAGCAGCAGGAGGAGGAGGTAGGCTGGGCTGTCCATCTGGCTCTTCCAGTAATAAGCATATCAAATCACCAGAAACAATCCCATATGAAGCTAAGGTCTTCTGATCCTCTGTGAGAGCATCTTTTCTGTTCAGTGTTATTGAAAACGTGGTATCAGAACTGCAAAATAATTTTAAAAAGCAGTAAGGAAACATGGTTGCCTGCACCTGGATAGCTATACACTGGACATGGCAATTGGTGCTGTGGTTTAGGTGGCCTCATGGTGATTGGTCAAAGATGGGACTTGGTGAACTTGTCCAACTGTCCTGATTCTATGATTCTACAACAGTATTGTGCCACGGGGCTTAATCCACTAATAATTACCCATATATAAAAGAAATACAGGTGAGGGGAAAAAGATTATATGGAACTATGAAAAGATTATATGAAATTATTTCCCCCATGTTTCTCACCAAGTACATTTTAAGTTGCTGCAGCTGCTTGGTAAATAACATTTTATTTACAGAAATTGGTCATAAAACAGTTACGAAGGAAAGCAAGTAAGTATCCTTCAAAAAAGATTTCACAGCTAGGAAAACAAGATCTAAATAAGCTACTGCCTTGGATTATTTAAAAATAAATAGTGTTGAAGACTCAACCAACTTGCTTTTTCACCAAGCTAAACATTTATTTCAGTGATCAGTAGGTGTCCTATAGAATGCTAGCTGCAAATGAGGATAACAAGATAAGACACTTCAGGCCAAAAAAAAACAGAAACGAAACTGGTTAGCAGGGAAGCAGCTACCCAGCAGCAGCTACAAAATACACCCACTGCGGCAAGGCAAGCAGTCACTCCGGATTCCTCCTGCCCACACCGCTGTGTGAATCACCAGTGAAACAGCAGCGCGTCGGACCGAATTAAAGGTTTGGGACACAAACCCAGCATCACAAAACGCTCCCCTTTTACAGGCGATTCATTTTCCTACGGAGGATGCCGTGAGTTCTTCACAGATAAAATATTTATGAAACTTCAACCGAGACTGTCCAGGAAGCCTGAGAGAAGTGTAAAACCGAGACCCTACAGCATTTTGTAACTTCAGCGCCACGCAGAAATCTCAGTCAGCTCTGACCGCGCTGCAACCCGCACTTCGCAGCCGAGCACTGCCGAAGTTTTGCTTTCCCGCTCCGCAGCGCCCAGGCGGGAAGCAGCCCG